TTGTGTCGAGTGGTCATTTACTCTCTCTCTCTCTCTCTCTCTCTCTCTCTCTCTCTCTCTCTTTAAGGTGTTTACTATCATAACATACCAGTAAATTAAAAAGGGTTGTCGTGAACACGGTAATGAAATTGGCATGCGTTTTCATACTACCCATGTCTTACAAATCCCCAGTGAGAGCATCCTGCAAATTTACTTATTGTAAGTGTTAGATAATTGTTTTTTTAAGAGTAAAGGGTGCGCGTTTTAAGGTGTTAATGTAACTATTAAACTATATACACTGATAGGCAGCTTCATTATAAAACCTGTACATGATCGTCCCAATGGATTTCTCTAAACACCTTCAACAAATCACCTTATATCATCCTAAACTAATTTCACATTACCAGACACTGGCAGATATATACATCTGTCAGTCCTAGTTATTCTAAAAAATCTTCAGTAACTTTTCCATTTTTCCAATCTGATTAAAATACAGATCTATATTTCGTTTCGTTTTTTTATACTTTCGATGGCCTACACTACATGAAGATCGGACCGGTTGTAGCGATAGGTCGCGTCAGAGATCATACGAGCGACTTTTGACCCTTTGACGTCAGACATTTGATTAACCAATCATTGATGTCACTAGTGTATTACCCACAGTTCCGTGCAAAACACGCCTAAAGCTCGCCGTAACAGATCGTGTCATTGCCTAATTCCTCACACCATTCAGAACACGTCAATGATAACAACTCTTCCAGATTCTAGTGTAGTAAAGACAAGTAAAACGAAATTTTGAACTATAAAAACGAAACGAAATAGGATCTGTGTTTTAAACAGATTGCCATTTTTCGGACAATATCTACGATGAATGTACACAAATTGATCATTTAACATTTAGTTTAGAACACAGAATCAAAATATCAACGGTGGATAATCCCCCGGCCTAGATTCAATCAGATTAAAATGTGACCTATCAAACGAATTCAGTGAAAGTTATGGGATTGCGTTTACTGGTTTTGACGATATCCTAAATTATACTGTCTGCAGTGGATGTCGCATGTTGAGAAATTTTCAGTTCATCATATTTTGTAAATACTGAATGGAATTGAAACATTTTGGACCGATATTCCTTTGAGAAACTTTCACAATCCCTCAAACGACGTACGGAGAATTTAATCGACTGGGTTTTGGATTTGACATATCAAACCATGGACCTAACTGAACTGGTCACCATCAAGTCAGTTTCTTAGGAAACACTTGCCAGCGATAAAACCCTGTGTGGAAGCGGACATTAAACTCTACAATAAGACGGTCATTTATATCTTTAAATTGATACCCAACTCTCTTTATCACAGGTGCCTGTAACATACATAAAAAAATAAAATTAAGCTAGGCTAAGTGTTGTATCAACAGTGGTTCTCTATTGCCTTGATTCCTTACTCTCGCCCTCGACACGGATAACTAAATACTGTCGACACGTTCTTATATCTCATGTTTTCGTGCTTTAGAATAACTGTCATTACATATAATGCGTTATTAATTCCGGGTTCTCCCTCTCTCTGGGGATCAATGAATTTGATTTGTTATTGTACATGTCTGAGTAAGATAATTTGTTATATTATGGTATGGATAGATTTAAAAATATGTTTTTCTAGATAATTATAAAGCTAGAAATCACTTGTATGTATGTTATTTAAATGGATGGGCGAAGATTATCTTGAATATATTATGAAAATTATTAAAGTCCCTTCTCTTATAGTTAGTGCAGGAGGACCGCATTACACACAAAACAAAATCTACATGATAAACCGTTGAACAAGACAGAATATAGAATTTACAAAAAATATACAAATATGACGTAATATACCTGTATTTTAAGTTTTTTTGGTTAGAAGAGCTGAGAATACTTTCGAAATTGATTGGACAGGTATATTTTCATAACCAAATAATGATTGCGAGAGATAAGTCAATGTTTGGTACTATATATTATGTCATATTTTTTGTACCAGTTGTGAGACATTATTCAGACATCATGTAGATTTCAATTCGAGACCATTCCGGCATCTTGTAGACATCTTTCAGACGTTATATAGATCTCAATATGACACCATTCCGGCATCTTGTAGACATCTTTCAGACGTTATATAGATCTCAATATGACACCATTCCGGCATCTTGTAGACATCATTCAGACATAATGTAGATCTTAATAAGACACCATCCCGGCGCCATGTAGACATCATTCAGACATCATAAGACATTATTTCGGCATCATGTAGACATCTTTCAGGTAGATTTCAATGAGACACCATTCTGGCACCATTCACCCAGGCATGATTCGCAGATCATAAAGTCAGCTTCTTTTACCGCCTTTCCTGGCTAGTCTATAGACTGCTGGAAATTCTATTTCCATTATATGCTACCAATAATGTTATGATTTTTTTTATTCATTTGCAATTTGACAAGATTACTGACGTAAGGTCAAATGAGTATTCGAAATCCATGACAAATAATGCGGCTGGAGTGCGACTGTGGCCAAGTGATCCCGCGACTCCGGGTCATATTGTGAAATTATTGATTTGGTTTTGCGATCACAGTGCCACCAGCTTTACTCACCAGCAATTGGTTTGCGTCGAAGGTTCGAATCAGTTTGAAAGAGTTTTCTTGCGACACAAATCCGACATTACAACCAAACTTGGCCATTCTTTTATAAGGGAACCTCAAAAGTAGAATTTGACAGTGAGAACGGCAATGTTGACCATACTCATTTGAATTCGAATCGACTTAAAGTTGACCTTTAAACCTGTCCTGAGATGATAGTTTACAGTGTACGATTCTATTTCCAAAATAATTAGGTTATAAAACAGTTCAGGATATGAAAAAAATTACGGCTGATTAAATAAAAGATACGCCAACGATTTATTAGGACTAGACATAGTTATCATAAAAACCCTTTAAAAGGAGATGGACTGGTCGATGTAGACATAATGCAATGAGTCTAGATTGCTCCAGACAATCCCATTAGATAGGTTTATACCTACCACCATATCAAACGTAATAAGTGTAAATTGCTTTAGCGATAATATCCGAGTAACAAAGTGATGACCGACTTGATATACCAACAGTACAGGCAAAACTATTAAATCTTAGAACTCCTTATATGAGAAGTGCTGTCATGTGTTTTAAATACATAAACATGGGTTGCTTAATGCACGAGACTAGCTTCTAATGGTAGCTAACTGGGACGATGGCAGAATATAGGTCACCAACAGTGGTAACCTCTGCAATCTATATAGAAAAATACGACATACATACACGTCACTACTTAGGAACGATGGGAGTTATACTATTTGATATGGTAAAATCTACAAAAGAGGCCAAAGATGGTACGGTTTGCTATTTACATGTCGTGTTGACTAGGATAGGGACGCCCGTCTAATCTCTCGTTGGGATCTGCAAGCGATTTAATTGCTTATTGTTAATCACAAAATGATCTAGTTGTGAACGTAATAAGATTTCAGAAATTGACTTTTTTGGTTCGCAGTATAAAATAAATCTGTTATAACCTAACATGTATCATCGCAAGCTGGTAAAACCCCCAAAGAATATTTGTGGTTACCACGGCTTATTGTTGTAGCTTGTAATATGGTTATTAACTTACCAAATCCAAGAAAATCATTTAAATTGCTATAAAACGCTTAAATTAGTAGCTCATTGACATGTAAGACAATTTGATCAACCGTGTCATATAAATGTCAAACATTTGAACATGTCTTCGAGAGACACATTTAAGACTGGGTGAGTTTGTTAGAAAAAGAACACTTATCGCCATGTTTTACAGAAATCTATTATTGGTATTGTTTTTACAGTGTTTATTCTTATTATGAACCCCGTACATCTGAATACGACCAACAAATAATGGCATCGTGGCCACACTAGTAACCAGCGGTATTTACAATAATCAAATACAATCTATATCAAAAATAAACCATACATAATATACAAACAAATCGCGATTATATTATTTTAAATAACTTACATTAATTTCCCTTAAAGAAAAATGTTGACGTGTCAAGTGAAGTGTAGCATACAACTCAATCCATCTGCATTTATAGGTAATCTACGAAAGTCAACTATGGAAACACTCTTGCAACAATAAGAAAATAATTTACCTCTAATTCATATGTCAAACTAGAGAAATAATATATACACATCTATCATATTACATAATATTTGTACTTGCATTATTATAATTATTTGTACTAGTTATTCACGATGTAGCAGTCTGGATAACTGTTTACATTATGTTAGTGGTCATACTTTATCATACTTTCTGTTATACACGTATTTAAGATGGGTAGAAACGCTGGTCTATTTAACATTTAGTCACTCAGGGCTGTTAACACTAATCGACGTATCTATGAAGCGAAGGATCGGGTCCATTCGTCATCGCACCATGGATTGATACTTTACGCTTTCCAGAATGAACTAAGTGGGAGGTGGGGGGGGGGGGTGGATCGCCGAATGGTTAGCGCGTGCCTAATTAAAAATCGTGCTAACTTCACAATGCCTAACTCGCTATGGTCTTAAGAATTGTGGTGAAACCTGACGATCCGGAGAAAACCCACGAGACGAGGTTGTGCATGCGACCCTACTTCTTGCAGGTAAACTTGGGATTGAAACCACGTCACTTGACTCAATGACACACCCCTGTTGAACATGACGGCGCGTATATCTTTTGTTCAGTAATTGATTCCCCTGTTTAGTTTATATAATAGATGGTCATCCGTCAGTTCCCAACGGCAACGTTTCGGCGTCGAAAAAATTTCACCTTTTGTTTTGTTTACTTTCCAGTTGAAGCATATGTTTCTGGAGAAAATAATAGCGCCTTTAATTAATTCTAACGATCACGTAATACTTTGATATGGAGGATAAAAGTGACAGCGTATTGGTCTGGTCCGATGGCAGTACTCGGTGTTCAGAATAAATAATTCATACATTTCCATATTTCATTTCAGCTTACCAGTCCGTTACGTGTGATCATGGCTGTTCTATAGAGGTATATGATGAAAACCCCAGTCCCTGCCAGACAGTATATCAACGAGCATGTGAAAAGCTACAAGTAGTTCCGTCCAGACAGGTGTTTCACAACCTATGTTTAACAGAAGTTATCCTTCCGCACTGTGGCCTCGGAGCCAAAGAATTGAAGGCCTTAGCAATTGCTTTAGTTGTAAGTAGTTCATCCACACTTCCTTTTCTATTTTAGCAATGGCGTACACTCTAATAATCTTTCTTTTTGTTCAAATCATAAAGCAAGTGGTTTTATCAGTGGCTAATAACATGTTCTGAACTACTGATGGCTAACAATTACCGGTTCGCCTTTTAAGACCGAGCTTCACTATCCATTAAGAATATTGTCTCAAGTAGGGAACGTAAGAACAATTGTCGGCCCTCACGCTTCGCTAAAACCACGGGAATAGGACATTCCAACATTGCAAGGATCAACAAAGTCTTTTTCCCCTGATATATATTTAATTAGGACCTGCTAATGATCTTGAACTAATGGGCGCTGTACTGATTGTACCCTTTTCTGTAGAAATCGGCATGTTGTGATGGGAACGCGGACGAAGTTATTTTCGTCTAGTCTATTGTAGCTCGCCTGTGTCGTCAGCGTTAAAAATGATACATTTAACGTTCAGCGAAAGTATTACCCAATCGTTTGAACCGTATGTTGTTTCATTTGATAAAGTATTAGGACAGAGATAGATAAGTTGAGAGCCCTCCTGTGCTCTTGGGCTGTATAATAGGACTACTGAAATCACAAGAGTGGTGCAGAAAATATTAATCGTTCAGTTCTACCCTACTACTTCATCTAGCAGACTGAATGTTATATAATGATTTTGAGTATTCGTTTTGCCTGCCTGGATAATCTAAGGTCCCCATTAAACTCTTTAATCTCTAAACCGGAAGGAAATGTTGGGGGTGATTTAATTACATTGATGGCGTTATCATCTAGAAGTTGCTACTCGTCCTGGAGAACCCGACATCATTTTATTGCGAGAACATTCCTCCAGATTTTCATATCTTGTTTTCCCTTGTCAGTGATGTAGGACGGACGGACGCCCTGGCAAGAAAATGGTCTGGTCGTTCTGGCAAACTTTTTTCAAAACACACTGCCTAGCGTATCCCCGTCTTCATTGGCACAGAAACATGTGACTGTTCTGGTCTTGTTTTCCTATATACCATACATTTGTATTTGTTATCCCATATATTATATGTTTGTGTATTTATTGTCCTATCTATAATATGTTTTGGATATTTCAGCACAATAATTCCGTCCATACCTTAGATTTACATGGTAATAGTTTTGGTAGTTTAGGGTTTGCCTATTTAGTTGAAATGTTACAGGAAAATCGTTCTATTATAGATCTGGTAAGTATGCTTTCTAGTACCTAATTAAAAAATCATTGCGCAAATCAATTTGAAATAGATTCGTGCACGAGACTATGACATCAGATAAAGCTTGTAACGGAATTTTGAAGTTCGTGCTACTAAGTCGTTTATGGGTACTGTTGTATCCCCAACTAACATGTCTGTGCGATTTCATTTGTGTGAGAGAGAGAAATGGGGCGTAATTTCGGGACTAACGAGGTTGGACAGGCGACCCTACTCCTTGTCACGTACAACCGGGGATTCGAAATCAGATTTCATTTGTAAATATAATTTCAAAATGTTGAAAACTATGGAACTTCTTAGTGAATTTAAATTAGAAATCCAAGATGATGGTCATCCGTGAATAAAGCTGATTATTTGTTTGCGGAAAATCTTAGAATCCCTAACCAAGTTCCAAACAACGGGCTGCCGGTCTATGGGGAGTTTCTTGAATTTGTCTATAATCCCGAAGCTTGCACAGTGACATCTTGATGCTGTCGAATTTTGCAGATTATTGCTGCGTTTCATTACCAAAAAGTCTTGTATCCTAGAATAATCAGTGAAAAGCCGAGAGTGCTCCCTTAAGAACTAATCAATATCTTGAGCAGAAGATTACAGGCGAGTTAATAGTCTGTTTTATTTGGCGTTGATTTTACATACTTTTTATTTCGGAGACCCAGCGACAACTTGGGCGAATGTTTTCGTTTAATGTTCTTGGTAGACATGCAGTATATTTTCAGATGCGACAATTAAATAATGATGTTCTGTTCTTATAGAATGTATCTGAATGTAAATTGGGACATCAGGGTGTTCAGATGTTACAAGGATTACAAGGAAATACATCAATAGTCCGCCTTAATCTCTCAGGTGTGTCTTCTACTTTTATTTTAACTGTTTATTATTAGGGAGTTTGTTTCATTAGACATTTGATAGACTTTAGAGCGACCCTCGTTAATATTTATTTACGACTAGAGGTCGGAACTAGAAACCGAACATGATCCGAACCATTGTCTGTTCAAAGATGGCAGCCCCCATGGGAGAAAGTCCTTGTAATTTGCCTTTACGTTCTACATAGCACAAATGTTGAAATAATGCTTATTGTTTAGACTTACATATCAGACATAACATACGAGACAAAAAATATCTGCTCATAGAAGTAGCAACGATTTAAAATTCTTTCAAGCTTTCATAAAATCATATGCTAAACAAAAATAGATTCTTTCTAACTTTTCTACTCTTTCGCTTTATCGATACCCGTAAACTTGGATGTACTCCGACCATGGCACAATACCAAGGTTCAGTATTTTCGGACTATGATCCGGACTAAATGAAATTCGGATTCAGTTGTCGAATAAACGGTTTCTTCTCTGTCTTTTTTTAGATAACGGCTTTATGGAGTCAGACGCATGTTATGTTGGAGACTTTATACAAGTGAGTGGTTGTTATTTGTTGTTCAGAGACAGTGGCTTAGTGTGTATGTCACTCATTAACCAGGAAGTCCCGGGGTTTTCAGTATGGCTTTCTCTTGGGTGTCTAGTCGTTCGAGTAGGATGGAAAGAACGTTTGACACACGGAATTGGATGAAAAGTAGCAATATTGCGATTTAGACAAGTAAATTTTGTTAATGGTTATCGTTTTAATTCCACGCTTATATGTGTAGCATTGGGACAATGAGAGGATTGATTTTCCCCGTTCATCTCTTGCATAATATGGACTACCTTGCATGGTAACCGCTTGTTCATGGTTGTATTGACAACAATGTAGGAGTAGTGGGATAGTTGGGCACCCAATGCACGACTATTACGATATATACTTTATTTTCAGAAAAACAAGAATTTACGAGAATTAAATTTAAGTTATAACTGTTTACGAGAACTTGGGGGCGTGTTTGTTGGAGGTGCCATAGGTACGTATATGGATATAATTCCACTCGGTACTATAATATTGGGTATTTTTTTCAATAACCCCGACCGTTGCTCTCCCGTAGAAACTAGCATATCCTTAGACATAGACCGTTCGCGTTAGTCCATAAACCCAACTCTTTTACAACGGATCATCATTGTCTTTAGCTTGAAGTTAACTCTTGTAAAGCAAAGATGTGAATATTAGCATTCATTAGCACATCATGCGCTTCCATTTGGCCCGACGCTGTGTTAACGTTTGCCCGAGAATTGATTCAGTATGTAATTGGCGGCAGACTGGAAGTACTATAAGATATTGTTAAATGAAACTGTTGACATATTTATTCACCTGATAAGCTGACAATAATAGCTCAGTCCTTATCATGAGTACTAGCCACTGTATCTATGGTCCAGTGTGGCGTTAGGTGCGGAAACTGCAATTGTCCACAGCTAGTTGACTTCAGACTTCGTCCCTGGTGACTCTTTGTAAATTAGCCGTTGGAATATAACAATTGACTCCCACGACATTTGTTTGTGAATGATTGTTCTTTGTCTCGCACGGTGGCCATTTGATCCAGGGGCCAAACGATATTTCAATGACAGCTTTATTTCTCTTAAATGATTAGTCCCCCGAGGCATATTATTGATAGTAGCCAGTGTGTATGTGTTAATTTATAAACCTATCGCCCAAATTACTTAAAGGATAATAAATTAGCTATCGATCATTATGCAATCCTTTAATCTGATAAATGCGACTAGCAAGTTTCATTCCTTAAGTCTCTCGGGGATTTTGATCCATTGCAAACTACAATATTGTGATAGTTGAATCTCAGCTCCAAAATGGTTCAGTTCTTTTCAGTTAGATAAGATAAATTGAGAATTCGGCATCCTAGAAGTCTGTTTTTATAGGCCCACATTTTCATGTGGACGTATATTGTCGTCGCCCCTTTTCCTCTGGACAATTTTAATGAAACTTAAAAAGTATGTTAATAACCCCAAAATCTCCGTTCCTTTCGATATTGGCTCATATTGAACCTTAACTTCCTTGGTTATGGCGCTTGTTCTCTGTCCATCCAATTGAATCCATACCGGTAAAGGATCTACGGTTAATATTTTGTGTTTTGTTAACTTAATTAAACTATCAATTTGAATACATTTTTACACCAATTAAGCCGTAAAAAATTAGATATTGTCCGAAATATGCAAATGAAGATCATCTACTGCAACATCCACAGACTAACAAATTTGTTAAATTTACCCAGGCCAATTTACAACGATGATTGAGGACCCAGATCGTCAACCACACATGGGAACATTACTGTCCTGTTTTTGAATAAGCTTCAGATATCTGAACAGGACTGGGATAAAACCTTACTGATATACATGAACTTGTTTTATTTACAAAATACAAGCTGGGATGCCCCCTTTAATTTATTCATTCTGTTTCAGCGGTTAATACGGCTTTAAAATCATTGGATTTAAGCTGGAATCATCTTAGATTAAAAGGAGCAGCTGCTATTTCACATGGTCTTATGGTAAGGCATACTTTTAATTGATCCTGGATCAGCGTTACTAAAATATATTTTATTATTACTCTAGAAATGTTAGGTCTGGTGTTGTGCCCATTTGATGGACCCCCCCCCCGTCTCCTGCACTGAGCCTCCAGATTAGCAGGATAACCAGTTTCGCCCGGGGCCCAATTTTACCAGGGGCTTAAATTCGTCCAGGGGGCCAAATTCACAGGGTCCAATTCGTCCAGGGCCCAAATTCGATGGCCTAAGACACTCACGGGGTCATGCTGGTTAATGTGATACCGCATATTTAAGGGTGGATCGCGGCGACGAAGCCCGATGGGCCAACACACACCCACACGCACACCCACACGCACGCACACACCCACACACACCCAGACACACACCCATACACACACACACACACACCCCCCCCACACACACACCCACACCCACACACACATATGCAGTGTGCTATGAGGTCAATTTGGCCTGGACAACGGAGCTGTGGCCTACTCTTATATCTAATTCCGACTGCCAACGGTTCTTTTACGTGCTATTCAATGAGTATGCGGAGACTCGCTGTTTCGTCAAATCTGACAGGGGCGGGGGGTGCTGCACCGGAAACTCCAGATGAATTTTCTCGATGTTGGCCGAGAAAGTTCCCGGTATTTTCCATCTTGGTTTCACCTTGTCAAGGAACAGCGTTTAGTCGTTCAGATGATACGAATGACGGAAGTCCCGTATACAAATTGGTAAGCAAACCGTCGTCAATAGCCCGATTGGTGCAGAAGGTAGGACCATAAACCCTCATTTCATTTCAACCTTTAAACAATCTGTTTCGTGTTAGGTTGAACAATCTGCAGCGACTATCAGTCATTGTTGAACAAATCAAACGTGTGCGAAGTCTAAAACAATATAGTAGGGAAATTATGTTTTATGTAGAATTTGTTTTTGTATCAGAAACAAGACACGGTAAACAAGTATAGCGTGTTCTAGACCAATTTCCTTATATTATTATAATTAGTTAAATCGATGTATTTATTTGCGTGTATATAATTAACATGAATATACCTAATGAATATTTATAGGTTTTCCTTTTGTGATAAGTATTATAATAATATTTAAACACAGATATCGAGGTTTATGATAAGCATGAATCCGAAGCATCTGAAACCATAATATTGTGTATTTCTAGTATTTCACTATGAAAGCCCATACAAACTGATCAGCAGTAAATATTCTCTTAATGGCTACTGTCACTGAAAGGCATGACATCGGGGCGAGTTAATTAGCTCTCAATATTAACTGTTTTTCTTCTGCTAATTAAATTCCAAAAAATGCCTTGGAAAAAATATTTTCTATTTAGTGTAAATCGGTATATAAGATGATAGTACGCGAAGGCGTAAATTGGGTAAAAGGCCTTTAATTCTGCATGGACCAGTTTGTGTCCGTCCGGTGTAATTAATGTACGCGTTATCGACGCCGCATAATGTGACGTCATATCTGGACATATATATATCTACGTGAACGTAAAGGTCTGTCATCTTGTCCAGAGTTAAAAGAAGGCTTTCGCATTACCGCTGATATTTAACGAATAGTTTGACCAGCCAGTCTAATGCTCGAGTCCCACGAGAGTGTGTAAGGGTCATAGAGGTGGCTGGGGAGGGGTGAGGGCAGTTCAGCCGGAGCAGGGCACACAAATGAAATTGGGTTTAACCTCCTACTTTTCTGTTCCGTCCGGGTAATGAAGATGGGTATACGCCATGCAGTGTACAATGGCAGAATTTCGCCCGGAAAGCACCCGTGGCAACTGCAGATTAAAAATTGATTTAATAAAATCGATAGCTTATAATACCAAATTGATTCTAACAATAACATTTTGTTAGATACTAAAAACGATAATTTGTGTGATTTTTATAGCAATGTCGAATTGCGTGATAATCCTAGATCATTGTTTGTCGCTAATAATAGTATATATATTTTAATGATTATAACCACGGAGAACGGTGTTTTGTATTTAATAGGTCCCATTCGTCATTCCATTTCTGCCAATCGTGATTTCTAAGTTGTTTTTTTAAATCCCAATAAATTGTAACAAGATGCATTCGTGATCGCAGCTTCTTTACAGCATTAGAATTAATTTTGTCAATCCAATTTTGACAAGACGATTTATAACACTACACGGTTGTTGTTTCTTTAATGAATAATATTAGTTTTGATAATGATGAAACAACATGTGGCAAACAAAGCCAGCGCGCAGAAGCGTAAGCTAGGATGTGGCGAGAGAGGATCGGCTGCACTTTATGAGGGCGCAATATTTGGCCTATTTCATTGAAAAAAAAGGGTTATTTTTATATTTTTACTAGCAGGATACCCGGCTTCGCTCGGGGGTCATAACTCCGAAACCGGAAGTGGTAGACTAACGCCACCTGGTCTATGTTACTCCCCGGTCCGAGCTACCCCTATACCCCAAAATTTCAGACTCGGGGCTGACCTAGTGTAGCCGCCAACCCCGAACAGACCGGCTTCGCTCGGGGGTCATAACTCAGAAACCGGAAGTGGTAGACTAACGCCACCTGGCCTATGTTACTCCTCGGTCCGAGCTACTCCTATACCCCACATTTCAGTCTCGGGGCAGACCTAGTGTAGCCGCCAACCCCGAACAGACAAATTTCGCTCGGGGGCCATAACTCCGAAACCGGAAGTGGTAGACTAACGCTACCTGGCCTATGTTACTCCCTGGTCCGAGGTACCCCTATACCCCAAATTTCAGACTCGGGCCAGACCTAGTGTAGCCGCAAACCCCGAAGAGACCGGCTTCGCTCGGGGGTCATAACTCCGAAACCGGAAGTGGTAGACTAACGCCACCTGGCCTATGTTACTCCCCGGTCCGAGCTACCCCTATACCCGAAATTTCAGACTCGCGCCAGACCTAGTGTAGCCGCCAACCCCGCACAGACCGGCTTCGCTCGGGGGTCATAACTCCGAAACCGGAAGTGGTAGACTAACGCCACCTGGCCTATGTTACTCCCCGGTCCGAGTTACCCCTAATACCCCAAATTTCAGACTCGGGGCGGATGTATACGCCAACCCCAAACAGACAGACTTCGCTCGGGGGTCATAACTCCGAAACCGGAAGTGGTAGACTAACGCCACCTGGCCTATGCTACTCCCCGGTCCGAGCTACCCCTATACCCCAAATTTCAGACTCGGGGCAGACCTAGTGTAGCCGCCAACCCCGAACAGACCGGCTTCGCTCGGGGATCATAGCTCCGAAACCGGAAGTGGTAGACAAAAGCCACCTGGCCTATGTTACTCCCCGGTCGGAGCTACCCCTATACCCTAAATTTCAGACTCGGGGCAGACCTAGTGTAGCCGCCAACCCCGAACAGGCCGGCTTCGCTCGGGGGTCATAACTCCGAAACCGGAAGTGGTAGACTAACGCCACCTGGCCTATGTTACTCCCCGGTCCGAGCTACCCCTATACCCCAAATTTCAGAGTCGGGGCAGACCTAGTGTAGCTGCCAACCCTGAACAGACAGACAGACAGACAGACAGAAAGACAGACAGACAAACGACAGTCACAAATATATATATAGATGTCTAGAAGTGGAACTGAATTTTCTACGAAATGGCTGCTCAAAAAAGCATGTTTGACGTGTACTACGTTGGTTTTTGTTGGTGGGGCGGGACAAACTCAATCGCTAGCTACGTGAACACTGCTTTAATGTACGAATAACGCTAATTCTAACGACAGTTTTTTTTAAGCAAAAATAAAATAAAATAAAACAAAAAAATATATAAATCCTCTAAATGGATAATTTGAGCATGAACGAATGAACGTGATCTTCAGCGATTACTCCATTTAACCCCAGGCCCTACTTTAACAAAATAGATGCAAAAAGTTCAGTTCACCTATTGCACACCACATTACAAATGTCAGCAAATAAATGAAATATCGATCAAATAGCTAACACGCGATTGATGAAATAGCTATCACGCAATGAAAGGTCAAGTTCAGAATTTTTATCGTCTGAAGAAAAACATATAGCTGATAGTTTCAATTTATTAAACTTTACAAGTAAAATACATTGTTGCTTCTAACAACTGGTCTGGTTTTATTGGTTACGATCAAACTTTTATAGTTCATAACAGAAAAAATATATTAACTATAGTTTACGAGAAGAGAGGCTGACATCTTGTAAATTGTACAAATTAAAAACATTGCTGCTTTCCATCAAGTGATCTGGTTTTATAAGTTCAAAATTTTATAGTTCACAAGTATTCACAACAACAGTAGAAGATTCGCCTGCTTCTATTCAATAACTGAAATGAAGTAAGGGACATTTTTCCTAGACACCAATTAGCAGCGCTAATACCATATAAGATTATTATGAAATAGATTAACCCAAATCGCTGTGGATTTTTGTCCTTTTCCTTGTCACCAATTCTGATTTTTGTTGACTTTTTGGGGTACCGTACAGTCGAAAATAGGTTTGTATTTACATTTTCTGTCAGGCTTTGGTGAATATTCATGATTTTAAGGCGGAAACTTATGAGAATGGCTACCTTGAAATATAGGGCGGTTCCCGGATCCATACGCTTGATTTCGTATAATATACAGTTATCGTTCATTGCTGGCAATGTCTTTGTAATCTGTACGTGTCGTTGTCTAATGGGTTTTGTTTGCGTACAGTGGGGTCCTCCTGTATTTACTAATAATAGTAAGCTACTTCCAGCTTGTGTATCTCAAGATTTCCATGGTGCTTCATCTGTGTTTAGAAAGCGGTCTACGAAAACTAAGAGAAAGCAGAGTCGGTTAGTGAGAGACGAATTAACGCTAAAGTCAATGTGAAAATCGATAGTGGCCCGGGGCCAGTTAGCATGAATTGTAGTACCGGTCATCTCGATCGCCCAGAAATACCATACTAACAGCTTCATATCCACAGGAATCACTATGGGTAGCTAACTGCCTGGAGGGTGAATGAATGAATTGAGCTTATGAAAACGGACATAATCCATGCAGTATGCCATGAGTGAGTTGAATTCAAGGGGTTCTTTTACGTGCACGCCAAGGTGTACGCGGGATCTCGTTTTTTTTTGTACGTACCATCCAAACGACTAGAAGTTGTTCTGGGGAGGGGTGGAAGGGAAGAACAGGATATAATGGGTGTCGCACTTGGGTATATGCCTACTTACTCTTCTTACTAGAACACCTAATACCACTTGTTCGCCTAGTAAATAATTTTCATTGTAATTTATATCGATTGTACGAATATAGAAACAGAAAGAAGATGAAACTTCCCGTTTTCGTGTAATATTCCAGAAATCATCGCGATGTTTAAATATTAGTATTGACATGTGTCAGCTCAACAGACTTAAAGCTTTTCATCTGCCATTTTTTAATAAAAAATGTCGAGACGACCTAGTAGGTCTTGAAGTGATTAGTGATTAGCAGATAAAAGTCATGAAACACACAAAATGATTTTGTTGTTAACTGCAATATTATCTAAATACACTTACTTTCTTTCAGGCGAATAAAAGTTTGACTCGATTACTACTGTCTTGGAATGGTTTCGCACTGGAGGGTTCAATAGAGATGGGACGAGCCCTGGCTAGAAATACCACGTTAATCGAGTTGGACCTGACATCCAACAGAATAAATGTTCCAGCCTTTAGAAAGATTATGCAAGGATTGATTAAAAATAAAACATTACGCATATTAAAGGTAAACAGACAATACGTTTATAATTTTATGGGGACCCTTTTTATCTCTGTTAATAATCCACACACAGTTAACGGGGATGTCTTACCTAAACCCACTTCTTATATGTCCATATTTCAGTGGACGTACGCGTATTATGTCGTCACCCCAATCTGATTAAAACACAGATCCTATTTCGTTTCTTTTTTTGTAGTTCAAAATTTCGTTTTACTTGTCTTCACAAAATCTTTCAGTGGCATTTAGTGATTGGGGAACACAATAACAGAACACAATTTTTATGGGAAACAATCACTGGTTTTATTCTAATAGCACGACGTTTCGACAAGTATCCTCTTATCGTTATCAAGCACAATGACATTTAGTAAACTTAGGTTAACCTGCTTTAGAATAAAACCAGTGATTGTTTCCCATAAAAATTGTGTTCTGTTATTGTCTTCACAACACTAGGATCTGGAAAAGTTGTCATATAACAGGCGTTCAAGTTTATGTGAGGATTTAGCCAATGAAACGGACTGTTACGGCGAGTACAACTGGTCAGATCTCCATGTAGTGTAGGCCATCGAAAGTATAAAAAAACGAAACGAAATATAGATCTGTATTTTAATCAGATTGGTCGTCACCCTGTCCGTCAACAATTGGCTCGTGAACGCGATGGAGGCTACAGTTTATGACGGATTCTTTTCAAATTTGATGTGAAGCATCGTAGTCATTTTCAGCGTTCCGGAGTTCTGCACCCTTTTCCGTAAACCTTGTGAACGCGATAGAGGCATCAGTTTTCGACGGATTCTTTTTAAATTTTGTGTGATGCATTGTGGTCATGAGAGGTTGAACCATATTGTTTTCTTAAAACGACGATCCCTATCGATTTTAACGACTTTATTTCAAATTGTTGGGAAGCATTGTGGTCATGAGAGGATGAAGCCTATCGATATTGCGACTTTCCGTTCCAGAGTCTTCAAGTTTGCCCAACATTCAAGTTTTTCCTGTTGTGTGGGCGTATTTCCACGCTTTGGATGGCTATCTTTTAATATCCACTAGGCGATATTTGATAAATTGTTGCTATTTATATATTTATTACATGTTTATTATATTACAGATTGGTACTAATCCTTTATCATCAGATGGGGCCACATCTGTCACCAGATCATTATTAGATAAAAACAATACAGCTTTAGCACAGTTAGATTTATCAGTAAGTACTCTAGGTCTAATCAGTTGTTATAGCAGGCGTGAAGCAACTTTAGAGACCGAATAATCATCGGCTTCTGAAATCTAAGTTCAAAATTTTGTCAATCAAACCGTCGTTGTATTTAAGGCGCAATTCAAATTGAGCCAATCAAATTAAATCCGGCTTCAGTCATACTGTACCTCATTCGGTCGACGGATATTTTGTTTATGAAATATTGAAATCCATTCGATTCACACTATGCCACGTCGGTTTGATATACGACGTAATTGCGCGAATAAAACGTCTTAAACAGGCATAGGGATGGGAATTCAAATTGGCCAAAATGGGCCTACCAAATGGCCGCGTTGTACAGTGTTAAGTTTATAAAGATATAATTTTAATTAAAACGAAACGGAATAAGGATATAAGTTAATTAAGACGAATCTAAACAAAGATACTATATTATTGGAGACGAAACGAAATATAGATATAATTTTATTTAAGACGAGGGGATTGGATGGCCGAATCGTGGGTTTTCTCCGGGTCCTCCTGTTTCCTCCCACTGCTAAATACCTCGAAACAAAGTTATAATTTTAATTAGATTGACTAAACTCTTATATGTTGACAAATTACTAACTGCCTATTACTCATGTAATAATATACTCGTCGGCTGGATTTTCCATGAGTCAGCTAGTATGTCAGTAATGCTAGACCAGCTAGTGTGTAGCCGGTTGATTAATATCTACAGGCTGATCTATATTAATATCTATATAATTACATTAGTCTAATATTGTAACACCTATAATTTCATTGCTGTATTATTCTGGGAATGGCACAGTCTGTTATGCCGCGCGGCTGTATTTGCTGGCGGTTAAAAAGAGAAAATGGTTAGTAATGAGATGGGGTTTAATTTCTCGTCAACATAATACTTCGGCTATTTTGAGACAAACTTTATTAAGTTAAGTTATCATTTCGCAAAACTAATAGAGGCAAAATGTAACTAAAACATACACATCGAATTATACTAACGTTTCAGGTACATTCTTGCATCTACTGTCTTCGGTATGCCTATCTGGTCAGTGTTTTTTAATTGATACGCGTTACCCCCGCCGGTCACTCGTCAAACTTCAGCAGATTCCGATTCCAGTACCCTACACCTAGCCTCGGCTGTATGACGAAGTAGGCCATTGGAACTACTTTCAAGTTCCCGGATTATCAACGGCGTTGCCCATGACGACGCCTTTGACGAATGTTATATCATACAAATATTTCAAAGTCTGAAGCTGTTTTTCTTTCAAGTTTATCCGATTCTCTTCAGTCAAGGGGAGAGAGAGAGAGAGAGAGAGAGAGAGAGAGATGTGATTTAACGTCTACTCGACACAAACTAGGTCATTTCAGGACTATAATGGGTTGATTTTATTTCAATAATTCGCTTGCGCGTAGGGATCTTTAACAGTGGGGGGAAACCGGAGGACCCGGAGAAAACCCACGATGTTGGACAGGCGACCCTACTCCTTGTCACGTACAATCGGGGAATCGAAACCACGCCAGTTGACTCAATGACAGACTTTATCATACAGCGCGTACACGCTAACCATTCAGCCATCCAGCCCCCCCCCCCCCCAAATAAAGAACAACTTTGCACTGAAAATTCTACACGCGCTTCGAACGACTCAATTTTGATAACTTCTTTTAAAAGCGGCAAGTTTTCCCAATAATTAAACCGGTGCCGCATCGCCGCAATTGTATAGGCGTAGGTACATATCACTTACCGTCATACAGCCGAGGCTAGATGTACAGTAACGGAATACGCCGAGGTTTGCCGAGGGCCCCGCCGGCTATACCTTGTGTACACACTACAGGCCATACTTTTGGCGATACTTGTGTAAAATCTGCAGGGGTTGCCATCCTTGCTTTTAAGGAAATTACTGGTAGGCGTATGTTGAGCGTTCTGGCAACTCCATGTTTTTTCTTTCTTTACAGGAAGTGGCGGTGGATAGCAGTTTTCTAGAATTAGTAGAACGGGTTAAGAAAACAAGAAAAATTGTTGTGAAATATGGAGTTGAGATACGAACAGATGATTTGGCGAGAATAGACAGACCTATTGTTATAGATATGGACGACCCTACAACAGTTTTATTTGAGTACATGAGGCAGAAGAATCTACGTTTAATAGACCTGTTACATAGCCTCGATAAAGACAACACTGAGACGCTTTCCAGAGAGGAATTAAGAAAGGGGCTGTTGGTAAGTTTTGAGAGAGAGAGAGAGAGAGAGAGAGAGAGAGAGAGAGAGAGAGAGAGAGCACTTGACACATACAATGCCATTTGGGTACTAACGTAATGACACAATTTTATTTCAGTAATTCGCTTGCGCAGTGGGAGGATTTCGAAGATTTCGGAAAAAGCCCACAAGGCGACCCAACTCCTTGGGTTCGAAACCACGTCATTGACCTTGGCGCTAAATGAAAGTTCCGGTTAGAAACGTCGCGTGAGGTCATGACTGGGTTTTCTGATATTCATAATAGTTTTAATGAATAGCTTTAATTATCAACCCATTACCGAAGCATGTTCCAATGATTGCCAATGGTAATTAGCACCTCATAGCGATGTCCCTGTTTTGTAGTACATATAAGTCGAATCTAATGTCTCTGGCCTGACCATTTATATGAATGTCAATTCCAGTTCCCAGGAGACATTTTCTTAGTTTTGGATGTGTTAATTATGTTAACTGGTTCTAATTGTTTATCACGGAATTAAGCCATATGTTGTTGAAATCGGGCTCGTGACAATGTCCTTGCAACGAGTAAAAACTGATTTTAACCTGGCGATATGCGTCTAGCGAGAATCACACGATAAGCTGCAACAACCCAAACGATATGCGTGAATCTAGAATTAGTTTTTGACCGACCGGTCAGATTTTACACAGTCTCGGGTGATATGAGTTCATCCATAGCTGTCCAGTTTTAGCGCAGGCAGAGCTATCCAATAGAAACTTCCTTATAAATCACGGGATACTACCACAAAATGGTGAAAACTGCCACGGCTTAGGACCGGATCCAGGATTTTGTCGAGGGGGGGGGGGCATACATTGGAGCAAAGGGTAATCATTAGAGTGCCGCATGCATTAGTGATTTGGTGTAGTCCTCAGAGTCTTCGTCGCGGCCTCATTAAACAGAAACTAAAATCTGGGAATCCCATTGCTGACTGCGGCTAAACGTCATTCGGCTTAAGTCACCAATACTGGACAGTACTGGCGCCGCAAGCGCAGTTCCGATCCAAACCAACCAGTTTTATCAGTTTTGATCTCAGGTAGTAGGCTACATAAACCAGTAGTTTTTAAATGTTACTATACTCGCACTGTACTGTCTTCAGAATGTCCCCCTTTTACTTTTGTAAAATTGACAGTATTTTTGAATACTTTCTTGATTGCAACGAAGGTGTTCTGATGTAAATGTTGAAATACAACTAACGTCTATTTTGAATACGCTGGAACTGTTCTCCCTTAATTAATTGTCACAGTGTTCAGTATCCATATAGGATTCAGAACCCTGTTTATTTTGACTATCTCTTGAATGTTTACAAAGAATTAATTAGATTGATATTGACATTTATTCACGATTCAAGATTAACATCTGTCTAAGATAGAGTCAAATATTAATATTATTCTTTCAATATTGCGATAGATAAACACTCATATATGGTTAATCTTGACATATGTAACCGATATCTAAATTTCTTAGTTGTCTGATTTCATTTGCCAACTAACACCAACTATACATAAATATATATAATATTGTTTTGATATCATCTATTTGCAATACTCTTTATTGTTATTGAATCAAAATGTCAGATTTCCTACTCTAAAATAACATTAATTAGCAATGAAATCGTATACAAATGCCACTATTTATGATTGATTGTCTGAATAGAGAGCATCATTTTCTTCTTTAATTAATAGGAAATTGTACATTAATAACTAATTATGGATTTCCTTGAGAAACTTATTAATTAACTGCCTTCTATTTCAGTCAGTACAGATTCCACTTAGTACCCGTTCCATGGATTTAATGATGAATCGTCTTGATTTGAATAAGGATGGTCATGTCGACTTCGAGTTAGTAGCATTTATTTTTTTTCTTTCTTTCTCCTTTATCTTCCTCTTTCATCTGTGATTAAATTAATCATTAATCTATAGAGAGTGGTAAGTATGTTTCTCTTCTAAGTAAGGTAGCGATTATCCGGTTAGATTTAAACGCGTGTGGTAGAAATAACAACCATACTTTATACATTATCAGGCTAACTAGAAAGCTATAGCTCTGATATTACTGTCGTGGTGAAGCTGGCGTAATTTCCCCACACGGGCAACGCAGCTAGATACCTTTTAGCGACTTAACAAAAAACCAAACGGATTAAAATGCCCCACCCCACCTTTTGTGCTCCGAGTTATAAATATATTTTATTGTTCGCTGGTCTCTATATTTATGTTTAGGTTTTGTTATATCTGTATCGATGTATAAGGCCAAAAATGAAACCAACATTTCTAAACGAACCTATCAATCTTTCGAAACTCCCATTTAACCGTACATAACGTGGCCCCCTACTACTCGATATACAAGATTAAACGAACCTAAGTCAATGTATTATGTAAATCAATGAGTAAGAGACGTTGACTTTTCGCTAACCAGGTCTGGGTACGTTCCCGGTTCTGTCCGAGAACGTTCCATGGGATTTTCCAGTCTGGTTTCTCCATATTAGTGGTGCAAGGCCGAGGGACTAGCTAGGATGCGACGAAGAACCTAGGTCACGGGATACAGATTAGCAAAGGAATGGTGTTTTGTGTAGAGCATCATCTTTTGATTCCAGTACAGTCCCAACGGCCCATATCCGGCTCTTGACTTTCGGTTTAACATCTTGGTTGTAATACACTGGTTCTTTTGCTTGTTGTTATAAATATGTTAATTCACAACAGCCGAATCAATCCTTTAATGTTTGAAATAAAATGATATGGGGTTTAGGGTTTAACGTCCTACTTTTCTGCATCAACTGAGATGATGATGACGTGCACACACTGTGCTGTGGGGGAAATTTTGCCTTCTCTTATTTCGAATTCCAACTGTCATGGGTTTATTTACGTGCACACCAATGTGTACTCAGGAAATCGGTCTTTTGTCCCACCCGAACGACTAGACAGTATCTTGATCCCCCCCAGACCACTGACAAGGAGGTACCACTCAGGAAAATCCCGAGGAACTTTCTCAACCCCAAGACACTGTTACCAACTTTAAGTTGGTATGAAATGGCTAAACGATAAATCATGTCATTTTCACAATTTCAGAGAATTAACTGTTGGGTTAAGGGATTATATCCGTCGAACAACAAAATGGCGACAACAACGTGGACTTACAGCGGAACCCATTATTGGTCGCCTGGAACACCTAAGGGAGAGAATTCGATTAAGACGTGATGCTGGGAGAGCAACAAGAATTGCCAGTACAGAGTTGTAATCAGACCCATGCCATCCAGTTAAAGAACCTCTTTAATATAGACGATTACTTATAGTTATACTAAACAATTAGCTGAAAAGATAGATTTAAACTATAAAATACCCAAGTAACTCACAATTCCAACGTCAATAACCCTAATAATGACTAACCCTAGTAACGCATCGTTAAAACTTCAGCAGATATAGTGTTCCTATTGGGGTTGTGTTTTTCTGTATATAATATTGTAATATAAGAGATATGTAAAAATGGATATATAATTTATTCATATTTTTTTTCAGTATACTGTTGTTGTTTATCGTTACCATTTTACACAGACACAAAAATATATTGTTGACACATAAAATAAAATATGGTTGAAATAAGTTATAACAACTCAACATTCATTCTTATTTTTCTAAAGAAAAAGACGGAAGCTATTTTAGTAGCAATTGCGTCTTTTTAAAGCCATTGATTGTCATTTGAGAACTATTGGAAAAACCTGAAAGTTGAATTTCTAAAAGGAATATCAGTCCAAAATGGCACAGTTCTGTTCACTGTTTACAAAGACTGAAAATTTCGTAACATTTCGCATCTCAGATACGGACGATGTTTTGGTGGGAGCTTATCCGAAAAATGCAAATGACCATCAACGGCTTTAACAGTTGCAGTATCCAAAAATATTTCATCTGTTCAAATGATATTGTAATAAATAAACGGTTCACACAAATTGGGCGGTATACATTGTTAATGTGTATTTTTGGACCAGGAGCTGGTCGCTAACCGCTACTTATCTTCTTCTTGTTCTTCTTCTTGTGGTGACGCTCTTAAAAGCCTAAAGCTCCGCCAATTCAAGTCCGATCGACATGAAAATTGTCATGCTTCTTCTTTGAACAATTCTGCTTTGATGTTGTAAATTAGATTTTTGAATTTCATCCGACAACATAGCCAGTTCCTGGCCCATAGTACGATCGTACTTGTTGTGTAAATGTAATATTGAAAATATTGAAATAATATATCCCCAGTTACAAAATATCATTACGCCCTGGTTACCTTCCCTAGTGGGTAATATACAGTAAAATTCATTGTTAAAGATACATTATGTAAATGCTAAATCTGCCCATTCCGGTCCTTTTTTTCTGGCTTCAAATGCTATATAAATTATTATATAAACATTTATTAACATGACAAGCCCACAATGAACTATCTGGGCCTTTGGGGGGCCCGATTTAAAGTAGATTTACAGAATAAAGTAATTTGACTGAAATTTTCAATATATTCATCATCTATTTTTAAACTACAGCATTACGACAAGAACGGTCAGCTCCTTATCTAATTCTTACATAATGGATCTTTAATATTACCGTGTAGTTGGCCAATGAACATATGGATCATATATGAAGAAAATGAAGATATGAGGATCAAACTAGTGTACATTAAAGATACATTATGCGAGATTTTTATAAGGAGTTAGCCATTCTTGCTATAACAGTTCAAAAATAGATGATGAAAGAAGAATATATTGAAAATTTCAGTCAAATTACTTTATTCTGAACATAGTTATCACCAGTGTAATTTTTGACTAGAAATGGGATTGAATTCCATCGTTTGATTGACAGGCGTTAACTCCACCTACATAATCTCTGCTGTCTTTTGTCTGGTATCATCATATCCGAATTTGTGTTTTACCTTTTTGGATTTTTATAACAATTGGACAAAATGAGTGAGAGGGTAAATTTTCATTCTTACTTGTATTTTGGGCATGCATTAAATCAGTTGAATATAGGACATAATATTATAATACAATTATGATAGTGGCGGCGTGCCTATTGGGGAAATAAAAATATTTTTATTGATATTATTAAGAGAGAAGAGCTGTCCGTCTGTGTTAGTCATCACACGGTCTCCAGGAATTGTATAATTTGTCATTATCTGTGTTTAGTTTACTGCACTTTAAATAGTTTAGATGTCATTTGTTAAGGCATCGCTCAACAGCGGCCTCGCTTCGTACACTCTATCATTTAGCCTCGATCCGGGAGTATGACGTCAACGTAATGTAACGGAATCTCCGCTCACGACGCCATTTAAAATTAAATCAGTGAACGAAATCCCGTTTAAATCCAAGCTGAATCCAAGCCATCCTTTGGTCTACAGAGTTGATTTTGTGCTTGTTGTCTAAATAAAGATCTAATTTATAATTTCTATAACATCTGAAGCCTAAATAAAGACTTGCAATAATCAGATTTAGCTCTTGCATAATGTATGTTTAAAATACATATAATAATTATATATTTTGGTAGGCCTACTATTGAGATATTTTATTTATGTTCCAATATGTTCTTCTATAAGGGCTGTGACTAGTAGCCTTATCCCCCTCTCCCGTCCCGCATTCACTTCAATGTTAAAAGTATGCGATTATTTCCATGATTTTAATCTTTATAGTCACAAGTTCCACGTGATCACCAGAAATTGAAGGGGCGTGATAATTTCGATTACTAGCCAGGCCAAAGGAATATACTTTATGGGCCGTGATGTCATTTACGCGGGTGATTTACCTATTCATATCCGTTTCCTTTCTGATCCTTTCCCACGAAAATCATGAATAAACAAGAAATGTAAATTCTTCCATTCTGGACCAATACGGATGAAGGTAGAAAATAAAGAATTGCTATAAATAGAAAGCAGGGTAAATAATTACTAGTCTTAGCCCATCATGGATAAGGACTCGTGGATTAACCTACACAACCCTTGCAATTACATCCTTGCCACACTTTACACGTATAGCATTTGGTGTTACTAAACATTCCACAATTAGCAGCACAGCATCGATGGAAACCTGAAATTGAATACAATAAATGTAACTAGTCGTAATGTGACACAAAGAATGTCTTGTAATGCAACAAGGTATATGATGACGTTTAACAGAAAATCAAAGAATTATAAAGAAGATGACTTACCAACGCTGCCGGGTCTGCACCTACAGTTGACACAATCACAACCTTTAGTATTTGATGGATCACATCTAAACGATCCACACCTTCTTCCACAGTTACATGTAGCAAAATCTACACAACAGAGTATACAATATTTTACCAGAGATTTAAAGACACAGAAACTATACAAGAAAGTAAAAGATGTTTAACAGAAACTTACAGACACATAATCTATGTACGAAAGTATACCATGTTTTAGCAGAGACTTAAAAGAAACAAAATCTACGCAAGAAAGTAGAAAATGGTTTAGCAGAGACCTAAATAGCAAATACAGCTCAACTGAACTACACGCAAAACAAAACCTACAAGACAAAGAAAACGGACAAGACAAATTACACAGATATCACAAGAAATATACAACAGATAACAAATCAAGTGAATGGTTCGTGGGGTTGGGGGGTGGGGTGAGCGGTAAGTGCTAAAATTATTATAATAAAATAAATAAATAAAGTGTAATGTGGAAACACAAGCAAAGCCAAACAATTCTGCAGTAACAATGGCAGAAACTCTAATATATAGGAAGTGCAGGAGACATATGTATAAGAAAGTACAAAATGTTTTAGCACAGACTATGCAAGACAATACTAAATGTTTTAGCAGAGACTTAAAGAAAAGGAATCTACGCAAGACGTGCACACGATATATATATATAGTACTGATTTTAATTCCACCAGATCTCAGTAGTTTGAAAGAGAGTAGTGAGGCTGTGATACTATAGAGTTTATTTTAGTTCTATGAAAGGTGCTCTGTTTAATATATTGAAGTGGTTAAACAAATGTGTGTCAACAAGAAGTCGGCTAAGTAAGTATTTTGCAAGATTCAACTTTCTTAGACTAACCCACAGACAGTACCTGCCATCATCAATTGCTGAAAGTTGGGTACTATCGTCCAGCCATCTCGTGTACCGATTAGTCCCAATGAAATAGAATAATGTTGACGTAAAACGGTGCCCATACGAAACGCTTACCCAAAAATGGTAATTGTCCCGCCCTAATAGCTGACATATCTATACTTTCTATATAAGAAAGAGCGAGGTTAAATTTCCTTTCAGACGTCATTCGGGGTTCAGGGGCACATCATACCCAAAGCCTCTGGTTCGAGGCCGGGATAAAGACAATATGTAGTGTTTCAGCCGTTAGGTCTGAGTGCTAGGTTCGTTACACTTAGACTGTAGATAGTATAATAACTCATAATGTACTATCATAGATGTTGTTTGCTGTATTTGATATATAAACATAGTTATAAAAACACACAGTGTTCCAGAATTAATTGATAATATGCACAACGTAAAGTCAAAGTTAGTTCCGAATTGATTATAGTGTCACCCTAGTGTCACGGGCCGTTTTCTGGAAGTTCCTGATTAAAGTCGCATGTGTTACCGTAGTGTCACAAGGCGATATGGGGTATCAGAGAAAATCGGCCCAGACAATCAACGCTTCCTTAGACATAAAGTCGCGAGACGAAACACAAGACTGTATTCGTGACATTACAAAGATACTTGGTGGAATAGTCTAGGAACAGGTTCTCACAGCCCCCCCCCCCTCCACCACACACCCACTTTGATATGTAAGGTTGTTCAATATCACGGATTTCTAGCTGTATTGGTGAATATGGAGGTACGAATATCTAAGTGCATAGGTTGCATGCACATGATGTATTTATTACATATTGTATTGAAAATCAAGCAGAATAAAATAAATGTTATTTGTTTCTGAAATTTCGATTTACCATTATTGATAAAAAACATGTCTTTCAAAGATGAAGCCAAGTTCAAAAATCGTATATTTTATTATGCACAAAAGTTACATTAGAAATTTAAGTCTCTGGACGTCATCGGTTTGGGGATGGAGGTAGTGATAGTTACATTATGCACATAAAAGTTTCTGAACGTCATTGGAGGGGGTGGGGTGGGTGGTTAATCCCCTGTGTAGAATATTATGAAAGTTGCATCACTAAAAGAAATATGTCCAAAACGATTTGAAGAATTGACTATTTATCAACATTCAGCGGCGTATGTATAGGATATATACATCGGAGAGAGACAGTACCGACCTGTGGATTAGCTACCGTTGATATTGCACATTATGGGAGATTAGAAAATGACTTGACAGTTCTCACTATAATAGTTAAATACTAGATAATGTAAAGGCAATTTGCTGAAAATTTCATTCAAATTGATCCACTATGAACTGAGAATCAATCGATTGAAATTTCCGCCTAGCCTCGATCATCATTACTAAAGTCAGTACGATAAACAGCATAGTCTCGATTATCCATTTAATCATTAAATCGTGAAGGAGTTATGCAGTAAATCGACTCATAATTCACTAAAGATCGCAAATTATGGATGCCATCGAGAGTTGATTATGATATGGATAGGTTAATTAATGTCTAATTAATAATTTAGATAACATTTCAGGCCTAAAGAAAGACCTGCAATAGACGGATTTAGCGTTTGCATAATGTATGTTTAAGTAACTGTTAAATAGTGAATTTGAGTGCATTTTAACGTGTCTTAAACCGTGGAAAATATAATATTTTGCGAAAAATGTAAATGACGCACAAAGGTTTTAACAATGTATATACCTGCATGAACAAGTCCTATTAAAATCAGACCCATAACGAACACTGTGAAGAATACATCGTGTCTGGCCATCTTCAACACTTACTATAGCTGTCTATTACCTCTCTAACAAGCAACCTGTAATTTGATTAACAGATCTATAAATGATTTATATTTAATTTAATACTATAAATAATTTAATACTATAAATTATTTAATACTATAAATATTTTTTATTTAATTTAAAACTATAAATAGCAAGGATTCATCTGATGCAGTATATACAGTGACAAATCATCAGTCATCCGTTATTATTTACCTATCATGACACACGACCCTTAATGAGACTGTATGATTTTGTTGATAGTTTGGATACCTGTTAACCCCATTTTGTGAGAAGCAAGGTCTATGGACTAGTAGGGCATGTTTATATTAGGGAGTTTGATATTGTTGAAATGCGTGATCGTGCTTTGTACAATGTGCTACGTAAATACAGTAATAATGGACAACTTACACTCTACTAAATTTAATGGCTCCCTAATACTGAAGAAATAATATAATTCATTTGATAGTGCGCTTCAATTCAAACAACACTTTTTGGTGTCCAGAATAGTTTTAGTTCCCAATTTCAATATTTAACCTTCTAATTGTCGGATTGAGTTTAGATTCATACTTAAAGGGAGACAAACTCGTTCCACCAAAGTAACCCTGCTGAGTCACAAACAATCGATCACTGAAGTTGAATAATGTTATCCACACACACACACCCTCCATATTTGTCTTGGGTTTGAATACATCAAATTAAAAACTTAACATTTCTGGTAAAACATTAAAAGAATATGCCATTTACATTAATTCAACCAAAATATTTAGAAGTATTAGAAATATTTGTTAAGTAATTGCACATTCTAAATAAAGATCATATAACTTCGTACAGATCTTCTCGATAGAAGCCATCTTGGATTTGGATTAACAGCGTACTTCATTCTCGAAAAAAGCATAATTATAATCATTCATGTAAAGATAATATTATCCGCACCCCAGATGTGGGTTTGAGATTCCTCAAATATAATCTAGGGTACTCCTAGTTACATATTTAACCTATATTGATTTATCTTAGATGTATCTTACCTGTATCATACCGTATAATATAGCTGTCTCTATTTACACTTGTTGATGTACGTAACGCTCCATTTAGCGTGTGAAATTAAAAATACATAGTTGCTTCGCTACCGTTGAGATAACTGGAAGGTTTCAAATTTCCCTTCGTCAGTTAGGGGGACATACTAAAACTTAAATATGAATGGATTGGATACTATTATAGAGTCCCGGGGTCACAATAGTCAAATGAAAATGTTGGGTTGTCTGATAAAATTCATTGAATAAATGAACAAATATATGTGATTGTATTTCTTCGCAAGTGTTGTTAAAATATACTTACCTACAACAAGAAGCGTTCATCCGTTTACTGCAACACAATACCACAGTTCTACTCATCAGCTTGTGACAAGTTTGTAACTGAACATTTATACGATAGGCCATGGCTACCTTATATCCCGTTATATAATAGACTTACTTGATTAATAATATCGATATGTTATTTCACCAGAGGTTATGACCGGTGATATACTATTTACAACTTAATGTGTAATATTTTTCAGGGCCGTAGCCAAGCGAGGTGCAAATATTCCGAATTTGGAAATAGATTTTGGCGTAACCCATGTAAGAAGTAAAGAAGTATATAGGCCATTGCAACAACTAAATTAAGTAGTCTGATTCTTTTGTTGTTTTTTTTTTAAATATAATTTTTACCACAAAGTGGAACTTACCACTTGTGACAGAATGATATATTGTCGTTATACGAATATATTAGTCATGTTATTGGCGTCTATATCATACATATTCATGATAAGGTGGCCGAACCGTCTAATACGCGTGTGCTTTAGATCAAAAGGTCTGTAATCAAGTGGCGTGGTTCAATCCCACACTTGTAAGTGACAAGGAGTAGCTACCGCCTGTTTGTCTAACCGCGTTGGTTTTCTCTAGGTCCTCCTAACTACGCGCAAGCGAATTGTTGAAATAAAATTGTACCATATATTAGTTCCGAATTAATCTAGTTATAGTGTTGAGTGAACATTAACGCTCCTCGCCCTCATAAACCGTCGTATGAGAGCCTATTTTTATTTTGTTGTTTTAATTGTTTTGGTTTTAAGGGTAACGTCTATTGTGTGTATATCATAAGAAGTTATACACTTTAGATGTAAATCTATTTCCTAAGTACATTTTAATATTCTAATCACGTAATCACCCCTGAAATAGGACCCTGGGGCCTTGTAGATTAATTATCCGTTCGTTCGTTCCTATGGACTTTTCCGTCCACTTCCACGAAAGGTGATATTGTAGACAAGTGTTTCCTAAGAAACTTGATCCAGCTTTTGGGTTAAACACAATGTCTTTGCGGGGAAGCGCCCAAGGTTAATTTCATACAAAGGACGTTAATATTACCCTACAATACACGATTAATATACTGCACGCGTCATCTCAATAATTGTAATCGGACGCGGATTACGCGTAATCTCTTCTGGTCAAGCACATGATTTTTAATGAGATTAACCTAATCCGTAGATAATAAATAGATATATTAATACTCAACACAATAAATTTAGTACCTTACGTTTACCTAACTTGTTTCACACAAACAAGTGCTAAAACTGGCACCGATGTCTCTGGATTATGAATCACCAAGACCAAAAAATTATACCAAATCTAGAACTTTGTTAGAAGCAACTGATCCCTACTTGATCGGACACCAGTTGATATCAGATTGTCTGGCGTGGAAAAATAATATTTGATAATAATTGTCTGAAAAGAAATTTTAACGGATTTATCACCAATCTGTTTCATATGTACAGGCGAGACGTTTGTTACATTGAGATTGTGCAGTATACACTTCCACGGTCTCTCCATGATCGGAATTAAAATGAAGGTGAGTTAATAGAATATTTTTATACCACTAAAATCCAACTGTGCAAAGATAATTACTATGAAAGCAATCACTGCCGACAGAAATGGACTTTATAGAAATAGATGTAATACCTGGGTTGTCTGTATATAAGAGATTTAAATGAAATTGGTTTTAGCGGCCTACTTTTCTGCTCCATCTGGGTTAAAAGAAGATGGCAATACGCCAAGAGTCTTATTTTGCCCCGACATCGACGCTACCACCTACTCACATGGCCTACTCTTACTTCTAATCCCACTTGTCAAGGTGCATGCGGGATTTCGGTTTTGTACCCTCCGAAGGACTAGGCGCCATTCCTTGCCAGGCAATCCGTCCTGCAACACTGAACCCGAGACCTAAAAGTTCACTTCATTTTACGGATATTTAAAATACTGACCATGCGATTTATGTTGATTTAAACCATAATATATTATACAATTTTAACATACAATATACAGTACAAGATACATTTCATGGATTCGGAAACAAGCTTAAAAACTTATATTAATCCGTGTCCAAATGATGAAACATTTAACATATAAATTGCATATGGTTTTATATCCATACTACATAATTATAAGTTACAGATATCAATGAGATAATTTCATCGTATGGCCATCCTTGATGGCTAAGTCACCGTGTCATCATTATCGATATCGTTTCATCATTATCACCGATATATGCTCTTGAAAAAAAAGTAGGGGATATTGAAATGCAAATACCTATGCAGGTTGTGATATGATAAATAGTCATGGACACTTGACATGCTTTGAAAATATGTTCACAGATGAAGAACTTATCGCCCCAACAGAACCACTGAGCTGCATGTGCGACACGCAATAGCGCCATACACGTAGAAGGGGTTCATTGTCAAATTTGACACTTCAAGGAAGGGTTGATGAAAACTGCCGCGTGCTGGTTTATCTATCCATATTTGCTTTCCTATCGGTTCTTGCATAAGAGTTACTGTTTGGCGTATCTTTGCTTTAATGCGTTACGTTTCATTTGATCGGGTGACGTGTTCGTCGACGTCAACGTCAACCGACAACACTGAAAGAATTGGCCGTGACACTGCAAGAGGAGTGGGTCAGATTGCCCCAAATCGTGATTGGACGGTTTATTAGGAGCATGTTACGACAAATTGCTGGATGTCTGAGAATTGGTGAAGCAATTACTCATTATTAAGACAAAAATCAAAAACGTCCATTTTCACTTTTGACGGTGTATCTCTTTGCGAGTGAAATGGGGCTGTCAGATAAGCCGCCCATATGAACTGTTTATGTTCATCTGTAGGCAATTGGCCTGTTATTAACATACACTGGTTACCTCTAATAAAAACAGCAGTGCATATCCGCTGTTTTGTATTGTTTCTGAATATCCCCTTCTGAATGTTAAAAGAACTGTTATTAACAAAACCCTTACTGATATTTCGTAGTAAATATACAGGGTCCCTGACAGATGAAGAAGATTTCAAGGAACAGGTAGCGACAAACGGTGGGTCGTCGGAAGAGTTCGAATTTCCACAACTCCAACCAAGTGTTTACGGACATGGCCCATAAATATGATTGTTTGGATATCATTACAGTTGAATGGTGTTTTGTTTATAAGTAATGAGTTGAACTTTTGATTACTAAAATAGAATAAATTTGCTGTTGTTTAATAAAATGCTTAAGTCTGTATTATGCATTATTTGAAAAAAAAATCAGCATTTAGTATGTATGTAATTATATCACCATCTTTTAATTAAGTACAGTGCTGTTTAACGTTCCGCGTTTCTGCACCACGGTAAATGAAAACAAGCTTGCGCTATTCGGTGAGCTATTATGGAGAGTTTGTCGTGATAGCGGGGCTTGTGCCCCCTTTTCCTTGAATTTCAGCTCTCAATGAAAATATGACATACAGCGCAACGAGCACATGGGTGGACCTCTGTATATCGTCCCATCCGAACGACTAGACGCCTTTACCTTACCATGACCTCCAGGCTATCTTAGTGTGCCGGCTCCATAGTCATTCAGCCACTAACCTTATCGATATAATTGTAAAAATACATGTGTACGTATAACACTTATCTATAATGGTGTTATGGTTTTATCGGGCGCTTAAACCTTAATTATCTCTATTTTGCCATTATTAGGTCTATGGACTCATTAGCTATTATTAACTAGGCGTCAGTCTGCACTATGGCCACCATCAGGATTCATTTGACCACTTTAATATGTCCCTGTCGGCTATCGGCAATCTTCATAAATCTATTTTATGTTTTATGTTTACCGTACCCAGCTATTTATTTAACATGGCAACCAACAGGGGATATATACCTTTATATGTTCACCTAACAACATTTTCCATCATGGGGCGATGATCATCTGTAATGTCACCGATCTTGGTAAGTAGACATTGTATATGACTACTTTTTAGGTTCGAGTGTGCTTGATGTGTACGTTATTCTATATTCTTATTTTTTCACTCGACAATAAGCATAAGCATGTTTCGCGTGTAACACACGGTCTCAAATTACCATAGCGTGATACTAATCCGATCAGTCTAATACGTAATGAATTTTTAAATATGTAAATAATTCACACGATACCATAAAGAAAGATCACACAGAAATAAAGAAATTATACTGCAATGCTAAAGATCACACAGAAATAAAGCAATTATACTGCAATGCTAAAAATTATGAGAAACAAAATACAAATTAAAAGTACACACAGTGTCATTGCAAAAACTAAAGACTAGAAATCGAATATTTTTAATCATTTCCCAATTAGCAGACGAATTCATGAAACAGCGTCCGATTTTGATTATTTCACTCTTAATAGTTCCTTTATACTAAACGTTTATATGTTATTTGATATCAATTATTTGTATTATAAATTGTACGAAGATAGCATACACCGTCTTATTAACCCGGTTGGTGCAGAATAATAAGACTCTAAACCCCATTTCATTCCACTTCTCAAAAATACAAATCTATCTTTTTATCAGTGCGATGCATGAATAAATATGTGAGATTTTACTGACTATATGAATAGCAGTAATTAACACTATTCCGTTAAACTGACGAAACAATGCTACGTACAAACAAAATATTTCAACAGCTTTATTATACATTAGAATAACTACAAACAGTATCATTTACATGTCATACGATCATTGATAATCCCGTCTTTTATTATTAAAAAGATCGATTAAGGAGTAGATCAAGGTCAACGGTCCGTAAAATTTACAATTACTTTAGAGGTATCTAACTTTGTAAAACTTTACTGGTGGTATACCACAGGGAGCGCTATTAAGTCATTGTACATTCTGTTGTTGTGCACATGGATATACATGGATAACAAATTTAAAAGCATGATGAATTTATAATGTGTATAATTTTAGATTTGACAATCAGGAAACGTGTGGGTGTGTAATTAGTGATATTTGTGAAAAGATACATCAGATATTGGAGGGAAATAATTTTAAATATGATCCTCGTATAGTATTTGACACAATATATTTCACTCGCACCTTTCTGTACTTCTAAGGATATGGGATGTATCTGAATAAATAATCATTTTGTAGAATTGAAGGAACAGTACACGTTTTCCAGTTGCAATGTTTATTTTCGTACTTGTAACCATATATGGCTTACATCTAAAGAACGGTTGTCGAATGTATCTACTTTTAAGTCAAAAATAATGCTATGAATAAATAATAACCTTGTAGAAACCAAAGAAAGAAACACGTACGATATAAATAAACATCGCGTGCTAAATAACCGTATGGTATCCGTTACGATAGCGGCATTTTTACGACTATCAACATAAATTTTATACCAGTTTTTTGTTTTAATCGGATGTATTTACCTTGATAGTCTTCGTCCATGTTGAACTGTGTAGTATTACAGATTTTTTTAAATTTAATATTCAGTTTTAATGGTATTTAATTCATGTTTTGAAACGATACATAAAGACACCTTTTGGTTTGTGAATATTTCATTCATTTGGAATTGGTATTAATAGAATTATTTGTAATCTATTTTTGGAGAATACGTTAGTGATTCATTCTTACTTTTTAGGAACAATATGGTTTTATTAATCACAAATCTTTTCGCGTCTGAAACTATGTAATGCAGTATAATAATGTAGTATATCAAAATTACACTTTGTCGTTTGCCCAGTCTTTGTTTTATCGTTTAATTATCCAACTTTAATTATCCAGTCAACAACTGTGTTTATGAACCGTTAGCATACATATATTGCATATTATCACCATGTTGCCTTTTTTAAAACGGGATATAAAATATGCTGAAAGTCTGCCACCAATTATTCGAATGAAGGAATCGCCACAGGTGGGTTTTTATTTTGATCCGTATTTTGTCAACTAAATGAAATCGTTCATTATTGATGGATTGTGGACGAATTATTATTTATAATTTGATCATGCAGAAGATAGAATTAAACTAGTGATAGGTTTATACTATAGAATTTGTCATCAGAAAGTTGAAAATCTGATCTAATTTCACGATTTGATTTGTATGGATTCCATAAGTCAAAATATAACAAAACTTTAAACTTCTAACCGATTTTGACCAAAAACTCGACAGTGCAAACATGGCATAGTTCAACAGACTGGTCGTAAATAGTTAGAAATGTGCTTGTATAAAAGGTTATGTAATTGGGGAATTTTATTAGAATTTTCCCTTTTTATATTGTTTGTTTTTATTTCCAGTTTGATATTTGGAACCTAGTGAAACGCCCTCACACGGCTAATCCATATCAACTAACAGCTAAGTACAGAGTTTCAGCTGGTCCTACACGGAGGATAAAAAGTGGTATAATCAGAAGAAGAAGACGAAATGAATCAAGTGTAGAGTCCGCAGGGAGAAATTCAGCTTTATCTGTTACATCTACTGATATAGCTCTATATGATCTGGATGCTGACGACTATGACTTTGATGGTGAGTTGTTCATATTTCCGTTTCCTCCTATAGCTACTTATATAACGTCACATCCGTCGGCTAATTTAAAACGTTCTTATCGGACCTGACACCTAACTTCACATTCGGCGTGCTAAGGAACATGACTTTTTAAAATTGTATTGGATCAAGTCCTTTAACTCGACATAAACTGGCATGGCATCTGGTGTGATAATGGCGTTGTCACGGCATGGCTATTTTAGTGCCTTAGTAACACCGAGCAACTTTTGTATACGAAATTAAAATATAATTGTGTTAGCTATGTGTTCTAGTAAGAGTAAAACTCGCCTTTCAACATCTTTACTTTTTTTTAGCTGATGATGATAACGCCACATATAGACATCTGTATGTTCTTGCAATGTAACGTTGTGTTTTATTGTTTTAGCTGATGATAATAACGATACATCTAGACGTCAAACACCACAGTCTGTATATTCTCACAGTCAGATGGTTTACCTCAGAACATGTGGTGATATGAAAATAATTCCTGCCAATTACATACTGAAAAACCTACCAACAGATCGACTAGTATTAAAACATCATATACTGGGTCCTAGAGGTACCAAAGCTCTTGCTGTAGCTTTAGTGGTAATTACATTGTATTTGCATTGTTCCGTTCTCCATAGAAGGTTCCTTTGACCTTATATTTCTATTTCTTTTTACATGTATGTTTCAATCACTTCAAGAGACTGGCTATTGAGTGTGCAAGAATATCAATTACTATGCTTTAATGTAGGTATAGCCGACGAATATTGTATCAGAAATTATAGCTTTAAGTATTGTTCATGTTCATCAGCTAAGGACTTTTCTGGTTGACTTTGTTTTTATATTTCAGGAGAACTCAACAGTGCAAGTATTAGATCTAGAGGATAATGGTATAGGTCTAAGAGGTGCCACTTATTTAGCTGAAATGTTAGAAGAAAACAATTTCATTACAGAGCTGGTAATAGGATTTATTTTTAAAGTCGCTATTGATTCTGGGGAAAACCATAAAAATTACCTTTGATTCGGCATGATTGGTTCTTTGAAAATTGATATACCTTTGTGAAATGCCATAGATTTATGCAAAATTCATTTAATTCTGTAAAAATTCAATATACTTAAGTATAACATTCCCTGCGATAACTTTGGTAATTTTCTATATTAAAATAAATCTAATTTTTACAATTTTCTGTGTTAATACATCTAAGCGTGACATTTTCTGTGAAATTTAGGTAATTTTCTGTAAAATTTTGGTAATTTGAAATTTTGATAATTTTCTGTGAAATTCTGGAAATTTTCTGTGAAATTTTGGCAAATGCCAGTTACTGATTACTGAAATAGCAATGGGACTTTACGGCAGATTAGTAGTAGGGAATTGGCGCTTATTTGGAAACGGACGTAAAACCCAAGCTAATTGGCATACGCATATTGTTCTGTTGTATAATAAGAATAAAGAATTATGAATAACAGATGAATAGGTATTGTTATTAGTGAACACATGTTTATCCTGAGGATGGACTCTGTTCGTTTAACTTCAGTATCCCTGTCATAGGGTCATTAATTGTTTAAGTTGGTTAACTTATTTTTACGTTGTATTTTACATATGAATATAGCCAAAATTCATGAGCTCGTAGCCTTGTACATGATTCGCCCATGCCTGTTTTAAAAGCCCGCCCCCCCCCACACGCACACCATTTCATTCAGTTGTACTCTTCAATTAGGCCAAACCCGTTTCTTTTTCTTTCATTTCTTTTTTGAAATAGAATAATAAAAAAATTTCTGCCATGAAAACCTTATTTTTTATTACAGAGATTAGCAGATAATTTGTTAGGTGGTGAAGGGGTTAAAGCTATACTAGATGTTATTAAAGATCCAGATTTTATACGTGTATTAGATTTCTCAGGTAAATAGGCAATAAAAAAACTTTTTGTCTTTTTAAGCAAAATTATTGGACAAGCCCGGTTTTGTAAAAAATAAATGACGGCCATTTTGTTTCTTGATTTTTGTACAATAGCCAAACAGATTATATTAACAATATGGGGCCCTTTTAACGAAATGAGGACCGTAAGCCTTTTAACTATAGAAGTTGAATCAAATTTTCTAGAAGAGCAATACAATTGCCTCGTACATGAGCTCCATCGAAATTTTAAACGAATTGTAATAAAACAGACGACTATTATTAAATCGAATTTGCTTCACAATATTAACTTCTTTAAGAGGCATTTAGTAATTGAACAGTAACACACTAACACTATTTATGGAATAACAATCACTGGTTTATTAACATGCAACGTTTCGACGATGATACTCTCGTCTTTATCAAGCAAATGATAACATATATGTTGTTGTTCTTAGCGTTTAACGTCCGCTTCCACCGAAGGTGATATCGCAGACAAGTTCATTTTACTGATCTTAGCGCACGCGCAGGGGTCTTTGCTGTGGGAGGAAACCGGAGTAAACCCACGAGGTTGAGAAGGAGCCCCCTATCTCCAAGCCACATACGCTCACACCTGGGATCGAAACCACAGCCGCAAGCCAGAGGTGATCGGCCAACTAGAGGTCGAAGCGTGACACTCTAGACCACTAGGCCATCCCAATGTTCGTTCGTTCGTTTCTGGGGTTTTACGTCCACTTCCACCTAAGGTGATATCGTAGACATCCCAATGTAAAACATCAAGTATTTATATACAGTAGAAAAGAAGCCATAAATATAGACCTTATATATAACTAGCACTGATCAAAGCGATGATGACAAAGCCCTAAGTTGTTACAATGTTCCGAAGCCATAATTAATTACATATCTATAAGGCAGGAGTAAGCCTAATTGGTGATCAGTATTATTACAATGATATAAATGGGTGTTAAGAATTCATAGGGTGTACACTAACACACATAACTATTATTTTAATAACATTGAAGTTTAATTTATAATAATGGCGGATGTTAGATAGTGTACGAAGCACTAGATCTTATATATGATTAATTAAAGTGATGATTCTGAATGTTATAAATAATAATAATAATAATAATAATAATGAAAAGTAATCTGAAGCTAATCCGATATATGATAATTATACGAATAAATTAAGTGAGAATGTAACAACAATCATATTAACAAAATGTATTACTGGAAAATTATTGTATCATATGCGTGGGGGAGATAGACTCCTACATCTCTGTTAAGGGCCGGCTTGTGTCGTCGGATCTGAATACTTTCCATGATTTTCCTTGTCTTCTTAACATGCTGGTTCGCGTTCATCACTTCTACTTTAGACCATTGCATTCTGTGTTTCTTATTGTTTCGCAAGTGTTCGGCAACTGCGGATTGGTTATCTTTGGATAGCGATTGGTGTTCCTTAATTCTGATGTTCAGCGGTCTTTTAGTTTCTCCTATATACTGGTTTTCACACAATATTAAACCTTAAAATCCCCTCTCATCATATTTTCAACGCTTTGATTTTTAGATATTTTCAATTCCATGAATTCTAGATATTTTCAATTCTCTGAATTTTATATGGTTTCAATTCTTTGAATTTTTAATAGTTTTGAACTCTTTGAATGTTAAATATTTTCAATTCTTTGGATGTTAAATATTTTCAATTCTTTCAATGTTAAATATACTATTCAAAAAAAGTAGGGGATATTTGATTTTTAAGTGTTATTAAAGTCACCTAATGAAACTGACGAAGAAACAAATGACAAAATGAAATGAAGTTCACATTCATCGATTTATTCCAAATGATCGTTAGACTAAGTAAGGCACAGACTGACCATTATAAGGGTAAAATGATACCCGGGGTCAAAAAGCAAAGTTACCACAGCATCACAACCAAGTCAGTAACGGGTAAATCCTCCTCTGTTTGCCAAACAAGCATTGATCCGACGTGGCCTACTCCTAATGAGACGTCTAAGGTCATTTTGGTCCAGATTGTCCCATTCCTGTTGCAACGCAGCAGCAAGTTCTTGGACATTGGCAGGACGTTGTTGACGTTGACGTAACCTCTGTCCAAGCATGTCCCAGACATGCTCGATGGGGGAGAGGTCGGGACTCAGTGCTGGCCAAGGTTATGTGGTGATGTTCTGTTGTTGGAGGTAACCTGTAACGATCCTGGCCCTGTGACATCTTGCGTCGTCATCCTGGAAGATGAAACGGCGGCCATGACGTCGTGCGAACGGCACAACATGGACTGCCAAGATGTTGTCCCGGTAGTACTGGCCTGTAACACGCCCTGCAACAACATGAAAAGCCGTTCTTCCAGCAACAGTGATGCCTCCCCACACCATAACAGAACCACCCCCAAATCGATCATGTCTGATGACGTTAACGTCTTGGAAGCGCTCGTTTCGACGACGCCACACCCTCCTACGTCTGTCCAAAAAATCAACAGTGAACCTTGACTCATCTGAAAACATCACATTGCTCCAGCGTCGATTATCCCAGTGTTGACGATCCCTACACCAACGACGTGTTGCCTGAATGTGATGATCTCTCAAACAAGGGATCACGCGAGGACGTCGGGCGCGAAGGTGACCCCTATGCAGTCGATTCCGAATCGTCTGGCCACCCACTCTCACACCAGTGTCTGTTTGAAGACGAGCGCTGATCTGATTTGCTGTGATGACACGATTTCTCAAGGCCAAGGTACGGATAAATCGATCCTGGGCTTGAGTTGTCGCCCTTGGTCGACCTGAGCGTGGTCTGTCCTGAACAGATTGTGTATCACGGTATCTGGACCATAGCCTGCTTATGACAGACTGAGAAACATTCATCGTCCGCGCCACAACCGCCTGTGTTGTGCCGATCTGTAGCATACCAAGGGCACGTAACCTTTCATTTTGGGTAAGCCGACGCATATCAAAATTTGTTTTCTGGTCACTAAAACAATTAAACTGATGTTTCCACCCTGGAATTCAATGCCACAATGACTGTAACATTCAAAGTCAGAGTCGTGCAAATCTTGGGTTGGACCCCCATGACGATCCCAAGCATCACCTGCATTCCATGCGGTAGCTATTGGTGCGTTTGGGCGTCACATGTAACTGGAAATGTTTCTTCTGTTAGGTTCTATAGTGACTTTTTTCGTAGTCATTTGCATATTTTAGTATTATGCCCCCAAAATCAAATATCCCCTACTTTTTTTGAATAGTATATTTGGAACTCTTTGAATGTTAAATCAATACTTTGAATTTTAGATAATTTCAACCTTTTGTATTTTCGAAATTTTCAATTCTTTTAATTTTAGATATTTTCAATTATTTTAATTTTAGATATTTTCAATCCTTTGAATTTTAGATTTTTCATCCTTGACAATCAACAGATTTTGCCCATCTTTGCCTACATCAAAATATTTTTGAGGACTAATCTTTCCCAATAAAGTTTGATTATATATTATTCTAGGTGCAGACTTACAAGAAAGCGATGGTCATCTTTTTACACAAATTATTGAGGACTCTCACAATTTGAAAGAATTATATTTAAATCACAATTCCTTCAGAGAAGTTGGTGGGGAACTGATAGGAGATGCAATAGGTATGGATATATTTGAAGAGTTTACATGTATCAGTTTTATTTTTTAAACCGCAAGTACTAAATATTATGCTCAATGTTCCAACTTCATATTTCTTATGAGCAGTAAAATAACATCAGACTCAAATCACATCAAAAGCCTACGATACATTACATACCAATGGATGGATCGACTATGAAAACTAATCACGCTCGAGGCGCAGGGCCCTTAATCCCGACAGGACCACAATAGGCAACGTGTGAAGGGATTTTGTATTAATTTACCTTTTTTCTTCCATAATTATGTTTAACAGTATAGCCAACAGTTCATTAAAAAATTAGTTTGTGGTGATCTAACGTGGAACAACCCAAGCGAAGAAGATGACAGTGGTTACCTGGATTACGATGTTGATTTTGAATGACCCTAATAACATTTTGAGCTTCATGGCTCTAAATATGTAGGTTCGCTACTGTATACCCATGTTACAAACGGACTCTCTATTTTATGTTTATTTAGGTTGGAATGATACATTAGAAGTGCTAGATTTGAGTTGGAACCATTTACGTCTGAAGGGTGCGGTGTCCATAGCTCAGGGATTAGCAGTAAGATTATTTTCAGTTTCTTATTTTTCATTCTTAATAATTATTAGCTGCATAATAAGTACCCGGGAATGAACCAACGTTTGTTTTTTTGTTACAGGATATCTTCTTGTTGCATACTTGCCATACGTACCACGATGCAAAACAGGGGAGATAATATGTCTTGAATTATATGGACTGACACTAGTAATTCTGCTCCGATTTACTTCCCCGATTTACTTCAATGCTAATCTTTATATCGCCCGTCATTTTCATAGATGATTTTGCTAATTCGTGCAAAATGCGCCGAGGGGAGATAGGAACAATTCCTATAACTGGACTAACTATATATCATGGGAACTATTTACCAGTTTTACACCATATAACAGGTGGTCATTTTGGGACTAATTAACTAATAAAAGAGACAATTCTAAACAACTTGAATTCTCTATGTATCAATTTATGTATTAATTAATCATTCGGAACATTAAACTGCTAAAATATAGTAATTTCTGAGATATATTTCTTGAGTTCCTTATTGATGTATACATGTTGTTTATATGGAAGAGATAATGAAGGGAAGAAGAACTATCTCAGCATGCATGACACAATCCGCTTAAATACAATTAAATACAATTATGATAATCTAACAATTTATATCTGTATTCTTTCAGATTAACGATGGTATCAAAGTGCTTAATTTATCCTGGAATGGTTTTCATTTAAGTGGTTGTAAGGAACTAGCTAAGGCATTAGAAAAGAACAGTACGTTAGAAGAATTAGATATCAGTGCTAACAGAATTAGTAAAATATGCCTTACAGAATTAATAAAGGGTCTGGCAAAAAACGAAACATTACGAGTGCTAAAAGTATGTACATGTATATAATAATTCCATATCCATCCATCCAGCTAGCCAGCCAGCCAGCCGTCCCTTCCCGTCCCGCCCAGTCATCCCACCATCCAATCCCATCCCACCCCCAGGTTTATTTATATATTACATTATGTGGGGTCTTTCTTACTGAGATAAGGGATCAGAGACGTTTTAAACCAATCAATGTGTAGTATGCAGTACATTCTGTTGAAGGTTGTTCCAAAAAGGGGGGTTGGATGGCCGAATGGTTAGCATGTGCGCCCTGTATCATAAGGTCTGTCATTGAGTCAATTGGCGGGGTTTCGATTCTTCGGTTGTACGTGACAAGGAGTAGGGTCGCCTGTCCAACCTCGTGGGTTTCTCCGGGTCCTCCGGTTTCCTCCCACTGCTAAAGACCCCTACGCGCAAGCGAATTATTGAAATAAAATTGAACCATATGTTAGTCCCGAAATGACCCAGTTTGTGTCGATTGGACGTTAAACCCCATTTCTCTCTCTCTCTCTGTTCCAAAAAATTGGAAACTGGAATGTTCTTTAAGACCCGTAAAGGATATTATGTCCATTGCTAATTGAACATAGTTTTCAATCATGAATTGTATTTATTTTTCTAGCTGTCTCATAATCCAATAACATCAAGTGGTGCCTTATATATACTAAACAATATTAAAGATGTTACAACTTCCGCATTACAAGAAATTGACCTTGGTGTGAGTATGCCTTTACTTTATCTAGAATTTGTTTAAATTTGAATAACACTGATATTTAAACAAAACAACAAACTATATATTATGACATTTGTTAACCCAATTAATGAAAATAGGATTGTTTCGCGGAGCTTCGACTTGACCAGAGATATTTTAAAAAGGGTCAATGAGGAAGTACCTTATTAAAGGATAAAAACTAGCTGTTACAGATCTTTCACATTTTTCTTCCAACTCGAACGACTGGTCATTTTCCTTACAATACCAGGATCAAGCCCGATCATAGAGAAATCTGAAACTATCAATTGATTTGTAGTTTGGTCATCCATGGATTATATATTCTTTATAAAGGATCAATGTGTTGAACCAGAGTTTGTCAGAGTTTATGAAGAATTAAAGGAAACCAGAAATTTAACGATAACCCATGGATCTGTTCTGGGCCAGGATGGCACAGCAGAAGATGACGAAGAGGAGTTGATAAACGAAAACCCTGTAATTGTTCTCATGGAGTTTGGTAAATTGATGGGATTACGACTGATTGATCTATTCTCCATGATGGACAAAGATAACAGTAAAACTTTAACACGGGAAGAAATAAAACAAGGTCTACTGGTAAGAATATTTAAATATTATTTGATCAGTATCATTTCAGTACTGCCCCATGTCTTATCAATCTAATATTTGCTATAATTTATCATATGTCAATTTGGAATAAGGGGCACAGCTCAGGACGTTGGGGGGGGGGGCAGAACTTTCCATTTCAATTCCTTGTGGTGGTTCGTTTGATACATCTATGCTCTCTGCACTCAAGACAGTGTTCTGTCTAATCGAACAGCTTATGAAACAAACTTTGGCGGTCAAGTTCGAGTGGAGTATCCCTTGATATCTGTAATAGTTGCCGCAGCGCATGAGAGAGAGAGAGAGAGAGAGAGAGAGAGAGAAATGGGGCTTAACGTCCACTCGACACAAACTAGGTCATTTCGGGACTAACATATGGTTTAATTTTATTTCAATAATTCGCTTGCGCGTATTGGTCTTTTTAGCAGTGGTAGGAAACCGGAGGACCCGGAGAAAAACCACGAGATTGGACAGGCGACTCTACTCCTTGTCACGTACAACCGGGGATTCGAAACCACGCCAGTTGACTCAATGACAGGCCGTATGATAGAGCACGCACGTGCTAACCATTCGACCATCCACCCCCCCCCCCCGCAGCGCATTAGACTGACTACGATATGTTAGTGTTAAAATGCCGCGACGATAAACTCCAGACATTTAATGATTAGATGGGACCAACTTTGCCCTAAAAATTTGAATTGATAGAATATACTTAGGTTAAACGGAAATCTTCGCCATCAAAACAATATATATTTTTGAAAAATACACTTGAGACATGACCCTGAATGTGTTTGTTTATAACTTATTACTAGGTTCCCTCTGTCGTGCCATTCGTTATGATAGGATTGTACCTATTGAGTCCACGATGTACAGATACCTTCGGATACGTTTCGATACGGTCAACACAATTGCTAGGACTGACCACAATATAATTATGATAAAAGATGGTGGGATTACCACGATTTCAATCGTAGCACGAATCGTGATAGTGGGGAACCTAGCATAATGCATTATGTCGGGCATTTTTACAAATTATTCTGATTTGTAAAGTAGTTACCAAAGTTAACATTGTTTTTTTGTATTTTATTTACTATTATAGGAAGCCAATATTCCTCTGACAGAAAAATGTTTAAATAAATTAGTTCATAAACTTGATACGGATGGTGATGGTGAAATAGACTATGGGTATGTAAACATTTCTTTATAAGTATTTTGGTACACTTGTCCATTCTACCCTACTCTTGTTGTCTGTTCAAGAGAGCAGCAAGGTAAACAATCTATGCTACAAGACCGGTTGGTTGCCATACTTCAACAATTCGCTATTTCTGGCACCGGCAGTATCGATCCCAGAGAGTAATAAAACAAGCTATAAGTATACTGAAGGGAGAAGAAGCCTTCCACACTCACAGTTTCAATGTTTAAACCAATGACATAATTTGTATGGTTAGAAAGGTATACAACTTGGCATGGCGAGAAAATGAAATGAAATGAAATGGGGTTTAACGTCCTACTGTTCTGCTCCTAACCTGGGCTAATGAAGACGGGCATACGCCATACAGTGTGCTATGAGGGAAATTTTGCCCGGACAGCGGCACTACGGCCTACTCTTATATCGAATTCCTACTGCCAAGGGATCTTTTACGTGCACGCCAATGTGTACATCGGACCTCGGTTTTTCGTCCCATCCGAACGACTAGACAGCTTTCCCTGTCAGCCCCTCCGTCCTGCATCACTGACAAGGGAGAACCACGCCGGAAAATCTGGATGAACTTTCTCGGCCAATGCAGCCACGTGATCCCCCGGCATGGCGAGAAAGATAATTATACAAATTATGCAAACTGAAGTTGGTGTCATTTTGTTTCGCGAACAGCTTAAATATCACTTGAAATATAATTATTAGATATTTTCCATTTCAGAGAATTAATGGCCGGAAAGGAAATCCATAGAAGAAAGTTGACTCAGACGATAATGCAATCACGTGATCAGCAATTATTAATGGAGGAAACGGAATTTGGGCGAGTTCGACAAAGATTATTAAATCTCACAGCTAAACACAGGAGGGGTGGCATGCGCTCTGGGTTTAGTACCATTGCCGGTTTAAAGAATATCGGAGGGAAAATCGTAGAAACGTTACCAACTCCCCCTAAAGCTTCAGAAAGAAGAAAATCTGTTTCTGCCAAACTCCTTACACAATTGGAAATCTAGATAGTGATAGTGCCTGCAGTCAAATGGCAGCAGGATATATTGCATATTCGCCTTTAAGACTTTCAAAAAGTGGATAATATTATGAAGGTGCGTGTACATTAGAACTGTATGCCAAATATATTTCATTTTGTCTTTTTTTAAAAGTGGTAGTCGCCACGGGATGGTAAAAATGAGAAATACAAGCCTTTCTCGTTTAGTTGTTGTTGCTTACCAGACAAATAAAACACTGATATAGTGGATATTACGGTTAGCCCCGCCCCCCCCCCATCCATTCTCTTCATTTGATATACATTTGTAGTTTATGTCTTGTCCGTGGGTTTGTCCTTTTCAAATAATATTTCCAAAAATTTCCGAAAACTTTGTCAGGTTGGTGGGGATGGGGGCTTATATGAGCGGACTCGAATATAAAGGGAACATATATAAAAATATAATTGTTTCAATCTTTATGAAGACCCTTGATAGCGTTTAATTTTTTAAGTCATACATTTGGAATTCAAAAGACACGTTTAGTATAATATGATTATGGTATAGGGTAGTGCGCCTCTGTAATTTATTATGGATGCTGATTAAGGATAATTTTGGGTCATAGTTCAGTAATATAGATCGATTTAGGGGCACGTAAGCCTTGCGTGATCTTTGTAACACAGGAACCTGTTACTTGTTTCGATGTTAATGAATTGATAGTATTGCACGATTTGTAAATTAACCAAGTAATAAAACATAATTATTTTTGTAGAAATACGTTTTACATTGCTTTAATAACCTCAAAAAATAAGCAAGGGTAGGATTCTTAAAATGTTGAAACCATTTGATAGTCTTCACCATTGTTACAGAATCGTGCCATACATATACATTCAGGTAACATGGTTTTTCCTCCTAAATCTCGTTTCGGTTGGAAAACGTGATCGACGACTAATTGTTTAGGTTATCCCTAGAACGGGATCGGTGACTTAGCTCTCCCAAGATTATAGCCTGTCCAGGAATAAGACCCTGTTGTTCGTGGATTATATCACTATTTGCTTTTCTTTGTATTTAGATCTGGCGTACGTAAACAAATCACTAGCCACTATTGAACCAAACACCAAAACTAACACCACTACACCAATGTATCCAATTCCTGATGCCGTCCGCCGTTCATCCGGAACACTTATTTTCTTGCGAACAGTTGCTGAGAGTATGTTAGTTTTCACTGCCAGTTTCTTTTGTAGCATCTTGGTTTCGTGAAAGATATCGGCAATGCCTTTGTTTGCGTAAACAGACAGGCATGCGCAGATGTTCACCAAGGGTGGTAAAGTTGGATGGATATTAAAGGGAAGTGACGTTGTTGGAGGTGTATGGACGTGGGGGAATGGGGTTTCCATGGGCACGGTTCTTCCAGTAGAAATGATTGCATCTGATGTCGAGTCGATTTCACGTTTCGTCGTTAGCTGAGGAACAGAAACATTATCACCAGGAATACCGGATGTGTCAGGTTCCACCGATTGGGTTGTTACAATTGGTGGCTGCGTTGTGGTATCAATAGGAAAAAGAACTACAAAAATATTAGAAACAAAATATAGTAATGGTATGTGGCACCAAAACAAGGCGACATCATTCCTACAAACAGCTTTTAATAGTTACGCTTTATCAAAATAATTTCGTATTTATAAACCATTTTATTATGGTTTTGGGGCCTTGAATATTTCGCATAAAATACTACTTTTACACATACAATGCTAATTTTACGCACACAATGCTAATTTTACACATAAATTACTAATTTTAAACATAAATTACTAATTTTGCACATCACATATGCTAATATTACACATAAAATATTAATTTCATACATAAAATATTACTTTTATACATAAAATAATAATTTTATACATAAAATAATAATTTTATACATAAAATAATAATTTTATACATAGATAAAATAATAATTTTATATTCTTTAAATGGCATTTAGTAACTGGATAGAGTAACAACAAAACACATAGAGTATTCTCTCAACGTTATCAAGCTAACACACTAAAAAGGTATGAAACAAATATATATAGACAAAATACAAAAACATAACCGAAACCATACATAGCAACAACATGATCAAAGGCCTACACCAACACTTATTAAGATATACAATAGAGATAGAGAGTTAATTAACTTATAGTCCATGGCCAGTGAGGATGTCTTAACAACAAGAATAATTTTATACATAGATAAAATAATAATTTTATAGATAAAATAATAATTTTATAGATAAAATAATAATTTTATAGATAAAATAATATCAAATAATAATTTTACACAAACAATACTAATTTTGAACAAACAATACTAATTTTGAACAAACAATACTAATTTTGAACAAACAATACTAATTTTGAACATTAAACAAAAAATTGCTAGATTTTAAACATAAAATTGCTAGATTTTAAACATAAAATTGCTAGATTTTAAACATAAAATTGCTAGATTTTAAACATAAAATTGCTAGATTTTAAACATAAAATTGCTAGATTTTAAACATAAAATAATTGGTGCTAGATTTTAAACATAAAATTGCTAGAGTGCTAGATTTTAAACATAAAATTGCTAGATTTTAAACATTAAATAAAATTGCTAGATTTTAAACATAAAATAAAATTGCTAGATTTTAAACATAAAATTGTTAGATTTTACACATAAAATTGCTAGATATGACACATAATCTTTTATTAGCAATTGCAAAATGCAATATTACATAAAATGGTGTGTTTTGTACCTATTATGACTATTTTGCAATTAACATACTATATTACTGCACACTGTATATGCATGCATTAACGAGGGGATTTAAACAAAACAATACTTTATTGTAACCAACCTATTTCACATCTATCGCCTGTGTAGCTAGGTTTACAATAGCATCTATATGATGATCCAATCTCTACGCATATACCATCATTAAGACAAGTTGTATTAGATTCACATTCATCTATACCTGTAATATAAGATAATCAGTATTAGATTCATCTATACCTGTAATATAAGACAAGCAGTACTAGATTCATCTATACCTGTAATTTAAGACAAGCACTATAACATTCATCTATACTTGTAAAATAAGACAATTACGTAATATTAGATTCGTCTATACTTATTTAAGACAAGTACTATAACATTCATGTATACTTGTAATATAAGACAAATACGTAGTATTAGATCATCTATACTTGTTATTTAAAACAGGCTCTATTACATTCATCTATACTTCTAATATAAGACAAGTACTATAACATTCATCTATACTTCTAATATAAGACAAGATAAGATTGTCTCAGAAGACAAATTAAAATATTGCCGATGGAATATGTCACGATTATTAGTTTTTATACCAAATTTGGGTATTGTAAAGCTTAAGATTGTCTCAGATGTGAATATAAAATTGTTTGACTCCACTCCACTCCAAAAAACTAGCTTCGCCTTCATCATCCCTTTATTCTAGTGTTAGTTTTGAATTTGGAGTGCTATAACAATGCAATTATATACTACGGCGTAGTGACTTCACATTGAGATGTTACTCAAATCTGTATGTCCTGTTTTACCCACTTACAGGTATCCCATGCCATCTGGGCCTTTCATTAGCCCACATGTAATTTAGCTAGAGATCAGAGGGAAGCTCACCTGTGAAATCTTCAAACTTCATGCCTGCTGGAAATCCATAAAACTCACCATTAAGCACTCCGTGCGCCATCATCCCAAATGGCGAATCACTCGGATAGTTAAGATTTATCAAACCTGATTGGGCAGGAGATCTGGCAGCACCAAAACTACAGTTTTCAATGGAGATGTAATCGACAACAAAGTCTAATCTTTGCATGATGTTTACTGAAGCTATGATGGATATATAAGATTGGAACTGATTGCCATTAGACACCACACTAGCATTTAAAGTATAAGACGATGTGAACATATCTGTGGGAGGTACGGTCGATATAAACGGGTCGACAATCGGGGAATTATCGGAAGCTGAACGCATCACTTCAATAACCATAACCGGCTGTGTACTGTTGAGACAAACTGGGTCAGATAACATTATATCGGTAAAGCCTCTTGCAGTAAATGTACTCATTTGTTCCGACGAGAAACTCAAAGTAGGGGTAATCAACGAGGTGTCGTAGATGATACGAAAGATACCAGAACTCATTGTCGGCATTAAAACATAACTTGTCCCATATGAATTTGTGGGTATAGCCATTTCCACTGCATGATCACAAGTGATTCCTGATACAGGCACACATACATGACCAGTTAAAACAGCAATGGGTTTATCAGAATAGACCAATATTCCCGTTATGTCCGTTTCACAAGTTATCCGTAATACTTGGTATTCGTTTATACGGTAAGTCACTATTAGTTTATTAGCATATACAATCGAGTTACATTTGGACTCCGATGTAAAGCTGACGAATACTGTGGTTTGATTTTCTATACCTATTAATCCTATCTGTCCTGAAATAACAATTCATAAATAAACGTGGTGTGCTATGAGGGAAATTTGGTCGCTACATGGCAACGGAACGACCATACTAACTACCTTGCCAAACCCTCCTTCCTACACCACTATGATGGACAAACAATACAAGAAAATTCCTATGAACTTTCCCAGCCAACAACGGGATTGCAGCCAGGGTCCCCTGTATTGTGAGTCAGCAGGTTACTCACTGAGTAGATTTTGACGCAATTATTAGAAGGTAATCGGAAAACAACGACCGCCTGCAGAGATCCTCTGACATCAATATGGTAACTATACATCTATCAAAATATTTAAAAAGTTCGGTGTTTAAGTGCTGTATAATTTACTCCAAAGATCACGCCGTTGTCAAGGATAGAAAACCTTTTGCTTTGGTGATGTCCTTAAAAAATCTGTTTGCTTTCCAGCCCCATGATCGACAGCTTTAGGAATTATATCTAGCTGTCTGTAATGTGATAATCCAAGCTCCACAAAGCACGAATTATTTCGACACAAGGGTACTTAACTCTAAAGACATTAAAACTGAGTGAGTGAGTAAGACGCTGGCTCGATAGCCTGGAGTTCGCGAGTTCGCTACCGGTGTTAGCCAAGAAAGTTCGTCGGTATTTTCCGGCGTGGTTTCCAATTATCGGTGATGCGGGACGGGGGGGGGGGGCTGACAAAGACAGCTGTTCGGCAAATTTCCCTCATAGCACACTTCATGTCGTATGCCTGTCGTCAATAGCCTAAATCTAACCAGACTTCAGTCCTATACAATATTAATTACGGAATATAAAACGAAACACGAATTAAGCAACATTTTTTTGATTGCAATCAGATTATGAATGCAAGCGTCTCATAACTTACCCACAACACCGTCTCTTTCAAAATAAGAGAACACTAGATACTTGTTGGATAAAGCTTTAACTGGAATAGCAAGATATCCATCTGAAGACTCATTTTCTAAAGATAACCCGTAAACGGACACCGGGGATGACGACAACACAGAAATGCCTTTCGTTTCAGCTGTTTGATTTGATGTCACGCTGGTTGAGTAGTCCAGGTTAACATGTTGTGATGAAACTGCCGGCAGATGATACTGTAATGTCTGGTTAAGAAAGGGTATTTTTATTTCAATATCAACATCATGTTGGGTTGTTATTATAATTTGGTTCTTGCTATGGTTACTATACGTCTCCATAAAAGCCAACATAAAAAAGTTTCCGTGGTGATCAATGTCAAGGCCTGAAGGAAATAAAATCATTAAATCATTAGAACTTAATTAATGGCGTTTGAACATGAATAATACGATCTAAACTGCTTGAATATATTCCACAATTACAAAAACTATTTGGTCACATTTTTTGGACACTACCCAAAAAGCAACCCTTGCCGGTTATGTGCGCGAGAGCAAGGTCTACAGACCAATTAAAACCGTGGTGACAAACACTACTGCAAAATATATTTATATTATTCAGATATATGATTGGTTGACTGAACATGGTCAATGGTTATCTGATACTGACACATAATGGATTTTGCTTTAAAAAATATCCTGTTGATGAAGTAACCATCAGATCAAACCGAGCGAATCCACTTAATTGGTCATTTTTTAAATTGATTCGTTGTATCGATTTCGATTCTATGCACATTTGCAATAAACAATGACATTTTGTCCCGCGTAGTATTCAAATAATCTTAATCAAAATGTCAGCCAAATAATATTTTATTACATAACCAATCCAAAGCAACTTTCTACCAATTATTGACATATTGATAATGTTGGGTCATTAATGTTGGGTCTAGAATATATAATATCCTTCTTCATCACAGATCACAGCATGTCTTCGAAATTAGCGTCAGGGGTGATTACAAATTTTAACACAATAAAAAGCAGGTTCAATTTATTATTTATTTCTCTAGTGCTTGTTATTCACAACATGTCGTAAATTACTATTGATTCGGATGTTTTATCAACTGCATACAAAATAAAAATATCTCTCCGAATTATTCCACTTAATTTAACTAATTCAAAATCGAAATGGAAACCACAAAAGAATATGTTCGATATCTTTCATTCTCCAATCTTGTTGCCATTAAAGCAGTTAATCTAACAAGATTTTTGTATGAATCATCACTTGACTTGACGTCGAGCCTCCACCTAAGATGATATTGCACACGAGTGAAACATGAACGGCTTGTCCAGCTTATACGTAGCATTCGTTAACGCTCGCTCGAGTGAAGGAGGCTTAACGTCCGCGTACATGTATGGTGATATCGCAGTGGGGGGGGGGGGGGGTGAGGGGCTCGTCTAGCACAGGTTGGAGATAGATGATATGAAAATGCATACAAAATTAAAAATCTCTCAGAATTGTTTCGCCTGATTTAACTAAATGGATGCCAGAAAATAATATGTTCGATATCTTTCACTCTCCACTCTTGTACTTTCTCGAATTTCGGTTAATCTAACAACATATTTATTAGAAACGTCAACAGTTTGTTGCTATTTATACCTAGCTTTCGTTTCAGTCATATTTATGCGATTCGTGGAACTACCTACGTCAGGGAAACGCACACCCGAGTAAAAGAGGTTTAAACACAACTTGACTTGACGTGATGTCAGGCTTAACGTCCATTTTAACCTAGGGTAATATCGCAGACAAGTGTATCCTTTGAAACTTGTGAGAGGGGCTTGTCGTTAATGAGAGGCTCTGAACTGAAACTGAAATGAAATAGCCCGGGTTTAATATCCTACTGTTCTGCATCGACTGGGCTAATGGTGATATGAATATCATACAGTTTTCTATGAGAATTTTTTACCGGATAGCGACACTACGGTCTACTCTTATTTCGAATTCCTACTGTCAAGCCTTCTTTTACATGCGCGCCAATGTGTACACGGGACCTCGGTTTTTTGTCCCATCCGAATGACTATACGTTGTACCTGCCTGGCCCTCCGTCTGCACCACTGACAAGTGGGAATCAGGCCGAAATAATTCCGATCAACTTTCTCGGCCAACGCAGGGAACGAACACAGGCCTTCGGGTTAGCGAGCCAACGTCTTACTCACTTGGCCACCTCTCGTCTCTTGACATAGATGAACGATTCACCGCCTCTATTTCCTTAGTTACAGCGTCCGAGGGTGGTGTTAATAACAGAGAATCATTCTATTTTCATTTTAAACAAATATATTTACTGGGTACTCACAGTGACAAACCAACACCTTCAGGGCACAAACCTGTAACGATATGCATTTAAAATATCACGTAACACACTTTATACTACATAGTCTAACTATAACCAAGCCACTGGTTAGGACTATAACCAAACCACTGGTTCGGACTATAACCAAGCCACTGGTTAGGACTATAACCAAACCATTGATTCGGACTATAACCAAACCATTGGTTCGGACTATAACCAAGAAGACAAGCTTGTAGTTTGCTTTTATACATCCGTTGGTGATTTTAAAAAAAGCGAGTACGAGCACGGTATTGTACATTTATCAATTAACGCCCTTCAGGGGCAATATATCTTGAACCACTAAGTTGAAAGCGTTTATATCTCAACTAATGCTAAAATTATGATGACAATTGGAAAATAATCTGTGTAGAGGATTACCAGTGTGGTAGTCCTGATGTACGTTTATCAGTTAGTGGTAATACCTCCAGAATTACTTATGATAAAGCACTCAAAATCGATATGGACCGGCGTTGCCCCCATATGGACTATTCCTAAAACATTTGATCCAAATTAGTTAGCCGCTTAATGGACAAATGCACGGACATGGGAGACGACACTGTAGACATCGACGTCAAAATGTGTTTCATGAGACAGCATTTCATCAAAAATTTAGAAACCGGCGTACTTGTTGATATTGTGACCTACGCGCATAACATTGTTACTTCCGTAATAATCAATTATAAACAGCAAAACTAACAAATAAGCAGTAATTTTTTTAAAAAAAAATTAAGAAAAGCTTGACGTAAGTGATTAAAACATGTATTTTATGTATAATAAAATTGGAGTCTTGCATCAACCGGGTTAATGAAGACGAGTATATCACTCGTGCAGTGTGTTATTGGGGAAATTTGCCGGACAGTGACATTTCTGTATTGAATTCCACACTTCAAGGGACCTTTTACGTACAAACCAACGTGTTCCCCTGACCGCGGATTTACGTGCCTTCCAAACAACTAGACGCTGTCCTTCCCTGGATGAAAAATCCCGAGGAAATTTCTCGACCAACATCCGTATCGAACCCCGGCGGGGGTGGGGGTGGGTGGGTAGGTTGGACTGGATGATATTAGTTATTTTCTACACACAATATAATTTATTCTAAAAACTACTGCCCTTACCACTATACAATGCAAAATCATGATATCCAATTGTTCGTTAGCTCAGCTCTGTAAAGAAATGAAATATTATTATAAAACCTATTTTGGAACTAACAGATACATAAGAATTCTCTAACATTTTGCGGGAATGTACTGGGTCGGCCAGCTGCACTGTAAAAATGATACATTTTTTATGTGGCCAAATTCTGTAGTTTAACTCTTTTTTTTCTGTTAATCGATGTTTATCTTGTGGAGAAAATGTGTTATAAGTGTGAATTATATCTTCAAACTACGTGTTTTATGTATTTGTATGGAATATTTAGTATTAAACAGGAAAGTTCCGTGGATAAAATGTTTTATTCCATTCCATCCTGGCTAAACATTTAAGTTTTTAGAACACGGGAACAGTGCCCGCTAATCTAGCCTATTTGGGGGTGTGGCATTTTGGGCGTATCTGTTAGAGGTAACCCACCGCACAAACTGTCTGGCAGTGGTACTGAACAACCTCAAAGCTGTATTAGGTGGTACAGATTTCAGCTAATCTAGCCTAGCTATATGGTCTGGAAATTAGATAACTCTTGTCAGGGATACTTCACCACTACAAATGTCTGGCAATTACATAGCTCTGTTAGGGGTAACCCACCACTAGAAATGTCTGTCAGAGTGTTTTTAACACCTGAATATGTACGGTACACTGCTGTACGAATTTCATGTGGTACACTTTTGAGCTAATCTAGCCTAGTTGGGGGGCATGGCATTTTGAGTGTGGAATACCACACCCACCACCAGAAATCCGGAACACTTACATTCTGATGATACCTGATATACATACATTGATACCATACAGGAGAAAATTGGTACACTTTTCAGCTAGATTGACCCCCTGGGAACATGCAAATTGATAGTACCGCAAACTTACATCTAAAAGTCTCTAACCGGTCCAATCACTGACGAGTAGCGGTTTGGGTTATCTTGCCCTCGTCTACCGATTAGGCTATTCTATATTTTTTATGTAAGCTGAAAGATGTTGCGTATTATGTCAGTGGTTAAGCCCTTGGACACGCTGCAACAGCGAAGAATTAATTACCACTATTTCATTGACATTTTCTTCTCTTTCATGCTCTGGAAACAAAAATTACCAGGATTTTTTTTTCTGTTTTGGAAAATGGAACTTATGTTAATTGAAGGAATTTCTGTAATTAAATGGAAAAACCAATACGGATAAAATTTCCTGGTTATTTTTGTTTCCGAAATGTTTTACGTTTTTTCAAGGATTCATTTTTTTTTTATTTTTTTTTACAGTGATGGTAATTTTATGCGACGTAATTATATTATTGAACGCATTTTCACGTACTTTACATCGTCTGGACCACAACTCGCTTAATTATTTCAGTACTGTGTTTATACATTTGTATTTCTATTCTTTATCTAAACGTTTGGTTCACTTTTTGCGGCAGTCATAACAATTAACCGAAATCTCCTTTATTATTCTTCTACAGGAGATTGAAAAAATAGCATTATGACAACGTGAGCTATCAAATACTTTCTTAATACATTATTATTTTGTTTCACTTGCCAGTTAGTAATTAAAGATATATCAGATAAGATTAAAAAATAAACATTGACATCTTTATACCGAAGGGGAAGCGGCGTGTTTAATTAAATTAATTGTTGGCAAATGTAATCCGAATAATGAATAACAGTCTCAGGTCATTCGTCCGTTGATATATTATTTCGAATTTCGTGAAAATCATACAAAAACTGCCCGATAAATGGCCGCCCCTCGTACGCAAATAGTGTAAAAAAAATGTGGACTTTCTATAGAGGCCAGAATTTGGAACAGATTTTGGTTATATCATTCAATAGAATGAATTTGAAAACATCTAAGAAAAAACATATATTTTAACAATTGTAAATAAATTATCAATCGAAAATTAATTACATTAATATATTTAGAAATCTAAGTGATGTTTTATATACATTTAAATTAAACAACTTACCTTTAATATTCAGATGACTGAAGGATTCCAGTGGTGACTTCAGACTAGTGACTTACAATCTAAAACAGTCTCACCGCCACCGTGATTAACAACTTAACTTTCATGAGCGTGAAGTTTCCTAGTTTAACTAGGATGTTGAAGATGTGCGATGAATATTAACTAATGTTATTATTGACGATTCTGTCACAGAAATTCAAAATATATGTTTCTTTCATTCTAGTGCAGTAGAGCATTGTAATTTTGCCCGAGTTATGGGCATACGACAAACCATGTGCTATAAGGGAAAATGTGCCTGCTCTTCACCGAATTTCCACTGAAAAGGAATCTTTTACGTGCACGACATACAGAACCGTTCAATCCAAAAGATTAAACATTGTTTACTGTGTAGGTTATCTGTCCTGTCTGACAAGGAGAAACTGGAATAGGAAATCTGGAGCAACTTTCTTGGTCAACACAGGGATGAAACCTGGATCTCTTGATTAGTGAGTCATCTCTTTTCTTACTGGGCCAACAAGTTGTTGAATTCAGGATTGTGACAAAGGCAACAACTAAACTATAGTGTTGAAATGACTTTTTACTTACATGATCAATGTATTTACTTAAAGATACATTATGTAAGCTTTAGATAAAGAACTAGCCATTCTTGCTATAATAGTTCGAAAGTAGATGCTGTAAAATGAATAATTTGAAAATTTCATTCAAATTACTCTATTGCAAACGAAGATATTAGCCTTTGAAGGTTTGACAGACGTGTGCAATAATTTCAACCACCGTACTGGTTGATCGAAGCTAAGTCTCGGCCCTCCATATTTGATTAAATCAAAGTATCGCTGAACCATTCTAATCTATTTAATATCGGAGAAATCTGATGCCATCGAGATTTGATTAAGGCCTGGATCAGTTAATTAATGTCTAATTAATACTTTAGAAAACATTTTAGGCCTAAAGAAAGACCTGCAATAGGCAGATTTAGCTCTTGCATAATGCATGTTTAACACCGAATTTATATATGTTCAGTAATTTCATTTGAGAATGTCCATTAGACCCAATAGCAATTTTAAAATGCACAACACAATAGTTAACATAGCCTGTTTAAGCGTGTATCTCCCCTCTATTTTACTTTCTATTCATTTTAATAAAGATCGTCAACGATACATGTTTCGCCCAGCAACAACCTAACCTACCCTACCCCACCTCACCGCCACCACCACAACCACAAGCACACCCAAAACGACAACCACCAACTCGTTGAGGAAAAGGGACCCAAAATGTTCAAATCTGCACGTTCAACTGTGAATGGAACCAGAAACGACCTTGTTGCAAGTTAATATCCATAGATAGCTTTTTATTTTAGATAAGGTCAGAAATGTAAAGAGCTACTGGAGAATAACGGACGTCGAAGAGGGAGGGGGTACAGCGTACACTGTGATTAAAGTAGCGAAGTCTCTGAGTCAATATCTTATTCAAAGTCTTCGACATTAAAATCACGAATTATTTGTCAATTTAAATCAACATTGGTGTTTGATCTTACCTGGAAAATATTGGCTTCTGGTATCCAATATGTAAGACAAAATAAACATTTTACTATTGGTACACGAATCGTGTACCATAATGTGTTTCAGCGCCATTTGTTAGAAGGAGGCTAGACATATTTCACGCGTCATGTCATACGGTGACGGCATATTCTTATCTAGAGAACATGTGCAATAAATACTATCGGTGTTGACTAGAATAACCAGACGCTAGAGATTGCCATTCGACTGAGACTTCTGACGTATGTCGCCGAAAATAATTGATTTGAAATTAGGGTAAAAACGGAAACGATTGATTGTAAATAAGTTTATATATATATATTCATATTACATTATTATATGCGTTGCGACCCATTTGTGTCAATTTCTAGGTCCCATTTATTAACGATTTATCTCCTTTAACAATTATGGCACACTCCGAACAAAAGTTTAACTGTGCACTTTTTCATTTTATGTTCGTATTAAGTTCTCGCCATTTTAGTGGAATATAACTGCACCATTTTCTAGATTCCAGTTACGAGGTTCCTTACATAAGTGATTGCCTCTTTATAGATACACTATCTTGAACACCTGGCGCTGGTGTGTTTGATTGATATTCCTCTTCGGGATTCATACTCCCAGCAATCATTATCAACGGCTTTTAACATCTGAACAGAATACAAGTCCACGAACAAGTCAGTACAAGTTTGAACGTTTAAAACTGTCTAAATATGTAGTATCAGTAATCAGTAATCACGCACCCCAAATACTACTTTTCATTCGTTTGCACGGCATATATCTGAAAACTCACAAATGGGTGATGGATTAGATATTTATGGTATTGTTTTAAAATACAAATACACAAAATGTTCACCGACTTTCATTAAGGTGACTGGCAAATTTGATTCTCGGGCTAGTGCCACAATTCCTTTCTATACTATTTATTTCACAGATATCCAAATGTTTTCCGTTATGTCCTTAAGTCTTTGATTTCTTCGCTCGTTTAGGCATTGCACAGGTAAATAAATCAAGTGCTATAATGGAACCGAACACAAGACTAAGCACAACTACACCAATATATCCAATACTGGATGCCGACGGTCGTTCATCCACAACACTTATTTTCTTGCGAACGTTTGCTGAAAGTATCTCATGTTCAACTGTAAGTTCATCTTGTAGTTCCTTAACTTCTTCAATGATGTCGTCCATGCTTCTGTTTCTGGGTAAACACGGGCACGCACAGATACATGATGGCGTTGGCAATGTCGGGGGTAATTCAGCAGGAAGCGATATCATTGGTACAGATATATTGACGTAAGGCAGCGTCGAGTTTACTTCCGGAACGCTTATTTCTGATGGGACGGTTGTATTTAATGTTAGTTCGACTCCAGGTAATGAAGTAAGTCCAGGAATAGAAGGATTGACACCAGGAATTAATGTAGTACTAATGGAAGTATCCACTTGTTGAGTTGGTATACCTGTTTCCTGGGTTGTAGCATCAACTGGTTCTTGGGTTGTTGTATCAGTTGGTGTTTGGGTTGTTGTATCAGTTGCTGCTTGGGTTGTTGTTTCTGTTGGTGTTTGGGTTGTTGTATCAGTTGATGCTTGGGTTGTTGTATCAGTTGGTGTTTGGGTTGTTGTATCAGTTGGTGTTTTGGTTAAAGCTACAAACAAATGGTAACGTATTTTAAATGTAATCACCATGTATTTTTGACAGTTAAAATACTAAATTTATAGATATTAGTTTTTTTAAACAGATAATAAGATAATATATTTTCGATATACTATCTGTTTACAATACTAATTCACACATAAAATACGATTCTAGCAATATATTCCTGTTTGCAATGAAGGGTGCAATACACTCCGTGGTAGCTTCTTGTGATTTTCCCTATTTTGGGATTATAGATATTTGCTGTAAATAGTACGATCGCATCAGTGACGTTTATTACATCTGGAATTAATTTTTCGAAAATGCTTACAATAGCATCTATATGATGATCCAATCTGTACACAGACATCACCATTAGGGCAAGTAGTATTAGATTCACATTCATCTATACCTGTAATATAAGATAATCAGTATTAGATTCATCTATACTTGTAATATAAGTAAGTAGTATTAGATTCGTCTATACTTGTAATATAAGTAATTAGTATTTATTTCGCATTCATCTATACCTTTGATATTAGTATTAATATTACACATTTATACAATTCCAAACTGCTATATCAATATGCTCACGTGCACGTTATAAAGACAATATATATAAAGATACTAGTGCATTTACAGCATACATGGGGCAAACACTCCGAACCAATTCTTTATCAAACAATCCCAAATCGACACAGCCAGTACACATCTTTCAGTTTTTAAACAAAATCCATCTTCACTGTACAATATTGAACTAACACCTCGGGAGGTTAAGGACAAACTTCTATCTATTGATGTTTATAAAGCTATGGGACCAGATAAAATCAATGGAAAACTTTAGAAGTCTATCAATTTTGAAATTTCATAATTACCACTTTGTAGTTTATTTAACTTATCTTTAGCTTCTAAAACAGTACCCTCTATTTGGAAAACGGTCAATGCAATAGCTATTTTGAAAACGGGTGACCTACCGTAGTAGTGTGGTAGCTATAGGCGTGTTTCACTGTTGAGTATAGTTGCTAACATTTTTTTTTAAAATGAGTATATAAGTATGTTTGGAACTTTCGGACACACTCCGTTATAACTAATCTGCAGGGCAGTATTTTTGCACGGCGAATCAACGACTTGTCAACTTATTGATCTTACATACTTTTTTGTCAAGCCATTGATTAAGGCCAGTACAGATAGTGTTCTGTGATATTGGGAAGGCTTTTGACATGGTCTGGCAGGCAGGACTATGCCATACGCTTGGGCGGTGGAGATAAGCGGGGGGGGGGGGGGGGGTTACTTGACTGGTTCAATAGTTTTTAACTAATAGATGCAAATCTGTGATAGTCAATGGTACCTTGTCCTCGGACCACTATTTTTCCTTGTTAAAAACCTTAATTCCAATTTTAGATGATTTACACATGATACCTGCTTGTACTTGGGTATCCATGACCCAACTGCATGCACGGCTCCTAAATGAAGACGTAGATAAGATCAATACTTGGGCAAAGACTTAATTGGTCTCTTTCAACTCAATGAAAACTGAAATACTTACTCTATCAACTAAAATGGACCCAATATTGCCGACATTTTCATCAGACAATACTGCAATAATGGAAGTCTTCGAACACTAGCATTTAGGGCTGACTTTTCAAAATGACTGTAAATTTGATAGACATATCGGTAATATTTGGACGAAAACGTTCTCCGCTCTGTGAAGTACAGGCTAAATAGAAATTATTTGAAAACAATTTACGTATAAATCCTATATTCTTTCGCATTTCGACTATTGCGATGTCATATGGGATGGGTGCACCGACTAACTTACTAACAAACTAGAACCATTGCAACTTGACGCACTCATGACTATGTGGTACTGTTAGGGGTATCGCCCATAGACTTTTATACGCGGAAATGGGTTTTATCACACTACAGGAAAGGCGAGGGCGACATATACTTATAATTTTCTTTACAAAATTATGAATCATCTTACACCGCCTTTATCTTCATGAATTGCTGTTATAAAGCCATATAACCTTCGAAACAAATCTAATTTATCGGAGTACTTCCGCAGGATATCTTTATAATTTATACAATCAAAGAATTGTACATTATTAGAAATAACAACCATTACGATAATTAGAAATGCTTGCTACTCAGACTGTTGAAGCGAAAACATGCGAGCGTAAAATTGAATTTGTTTCCATGAGGAAATAATTTGCGCCACACACCACACTAAAAGGAATGTCAAAATGGATGCTCTTCAAACAAATGAAAATGGATGCTCTTCAAATGAAAATGCTCACAAAGATAATACTTATCACACTTTTTGCTGGTTAAATTGTCAAATAGAGTGCTACTTAAAGCGGCATTATGGAACATTAGATAAATAACTGTCAGTTCTCGCTATAATAGTTGAAAAAAAAGATAATGTATAGGGGATATGCTGACTATTTTAATCAGATTACTTCACTCGAAGCCGAGAAATCCTAGCCTCGGTTGTCATTGGCACGGTCGTTACGATAATAAACAAAGTCTCGATTATCTATTTTTACAGTTGATCATCATCAGCCGTTGAACCGCAGATCGGATTCAAATCGGTTTAAAATCGGACCAATCAGATGGCATCGAGAGTTGATTACGGTCTTGGCATGTTATAAATGTCTAATTAATAATTCATATAACATTTGAGGCCTAAAGAAAGACCTGCAATAGGCAGATTTAGCTCTCGCAGAATGCCTGCAATAGGCAGATTTAGCTCTCGCAGAATGCCCTTTTAATGCATCCATATTACCAGCAGTTCATCCACGTATGAAAAGTCTTATATCAACCCTTGCCTAGCGAAATTGTTTTTCAAGATTATTGTTAACTTGATGGAACTTTCTCCGGACAAAATTATCCGTTCGAGCGCCAACTTTTGAGTGGGAAATTAGGCTATACACACTGTAAATATTTTCTTAGATTGCTATGTAGCACGTGTATATTACCATGTAATTTTACCTTGTACACGAGACAGGATAGGCTTACTCTTTTCGAAACCCTCGATCCTAATTTGCCACGAGGGCATCAGTTATTTTGGTACTTTTCAATATCTATTACATTATTTGTTTAAAATTCACTTCGATCTACGTTCGGACATATGATAATAAATTAAAGGTGACAGATGGCAAAATAGTCCGATCTCTAGTCAAACAAAATACCACTTTATGGATCACTAGCAATGACTACTGGTAATAATGATTACAATTATGGTGCTGGTGGGAAGACTCACCTGTGTAATCTTTAAACTTCATGCCGACTGGAAATCCATAAGACTCCGCAACAAGGACACCGTACGTCATCATTCCAAATGACATATCACTTGAGGATTCCAGATTTATCAATTGGCCGTGTACTGGAAGCGTCGCTGTCGCAAATTCACAATCTGAGATGTTGTTAAAGTTGTTAACGAAGTCTAATCTTTGCATGGTGTGTGCTGAAGCTATGATGGATATATAAGATTGGAACTGCTTCCCGTTTGACACCACACTAGAGTCTAAAGTATAAGACGATGTGAACATATCTGTGGGAGGTACGGTCGATATAAACGGGTCCCCAACGGGGGAGCCAGTCGAAGCTGAATGCATTACCTCAATAACCAAAATATTGCTTGAACTTTGTAGACAAACTGGTTCTGAAAAGGGAATATCCACAAATGTTCCCGGATATAGTGTATCGGTGTACCCTGAAGAGAACATCAAATTAATAGTTGCAAGCGAGCCGCCGTGGACTATTCGAAAGGTACTATTGGAACCTGAACCGACATTCATTGAAGGCATTAAAACGTAACTTTTCCCATGAACATTTGAAGGTTCAGCCATTTCCACTAAGTGATCACAAGTGATTTCATGTACAGATCCGCATACATGACCAGTTAAAACAGCAATGGGTTTATCAGAAGTAACTACTATGCCTGTTATGTCCGTTTCACAAGTTATCCGTAATACTTGGTATTCGTTAAAGCGGTGTGTCTTTAAATAATTGAAAACGATCTCAAGGTTATTGTACAAGGCGCTATTGCTCAAATAACATTTGGATCCCGCTGTAAATTTAACTTTCACTGTGGTTTGATTTTCTATACCTATTAATCCTATCTGTCCTGAAATAACAATTCATAAATATACAAACTACTTACTTTGTCCTGTTACTTAAATGAATTATGGTAGAGCTAAATCTGCCCACCACAGGTTTTTATTTTCTTTTGCATTCAAATGTTATATAAATTAATTATTAATTAGACGGGGGATTGGATGGCAGAATGGTTAGCACGTGCGCGCTGTATCATAAGGCCTGTTATTGAGTCAACTGGCGGGGTTTCGAATCCCCGGTTGTACGCGGTAAGGAGTAAGGTTGCCTGTCCAACCTCGTGGGTTTTCTCCGGGTCCTCCGGTTTCCTCCCACTGCTAAATATACAAACTACTTACTTTGTCCTGTTACTTAAATGAATTATGGTAGAGCTAAATCTGCCCACCACAGGTTTTTATTTTCTTTTGCATTCAAATGTTATATAAATTAATTATTAATTAGACGGGGGATTGGATGGCAGAATGGTTAGCACGTGCGCGCTGTATCATAAGGCCTGTTATTGAGTCAACTGGCGGGGTTTCGAATCCCCGGTTGTACGCGGTAAGGAGTAAGGTTGCCTGTCCAACCTCGTGGGTTTTCTCCGGGTCCTCCGGTTTCCTCCCACTGCTAAAGACCCCTACGCACAAGCGAATTATTGAAATAAAATTAAACCATATGTTAGTCCCAAAATGACCTAGTTTCTAGACCCCCCGGATGTTCGTGATTTTTAGTGGTTTGAAGCACGGTCGACATTTAATGATTTAATTTAAAAAAGGTTAATCGATATATTTTAACAAGGCGAAATCCAAATGATACGGAATGATTGATTTGCAACTTTACGCTGTTTTAAACAAAGATTGTGTCATTTATCTTTAGCTATAACCATTGCAATAAACAAAAACTACTAAAGCCAACAAAAAGGTAAATGCCCGAATTTCGAACGACACTTCTTCTGGCTTAGTAGCAACATTGACATAAGATGGGTAAAGAGCACATAAAATGACCATATCAAAGCACCTTACACCAATTTCATCCAAATTCATTCATAACTCATTAAAAGTGTTGGTTCAGCGGTTCTGTGAGTAATGCGGTAGCCCACTAACCACTCCTTGGGATATTTCAGCCTAGTTACCCTTTTCAATGGTAAATGGCGGAAGTATAAAGTCTTAGGCCTCGCTGTCAGGAAAAAATGCCCTGACTCTAAACCACATTTCGTTTCATTTTGTGTGGTTTGAAAGGGTTAAACTGAAATAAAGTGTAAACATTAGTTAGGTTTCTTTCTATAATACGCAACATATCTTTTTCTTTTATTTTTTCATAACAATAAACGTTGTGAATTTACGTGCTGGCTCGTTATTCGTCATTGGCGAATAACCTACTTGCTCGTTATTCGTCATTGGCGAATCCTGAATAACGGGCTGACTCCTTATTCGTTATTCGAATCCCGAATAACGTGCCAAACTCCCGTTGCCACATTTATATACTGTTATCATCAGAAAGATAGAGTGAATATATGACCTACCTATAACACCGTCTTCATGATAAGAGTAAACTATATAGTTAGTGAATAAGGCTTTAACGGGAATAGCGAGATATCCATCTGAAGAGTTAGCTTCTAGAGACAATCCGTAAACAGACACAGGGGATGACGACAGCACAGATATTGCTTTCGTTTCTGCAATATTTTCCGACGTCACACTGGTTGTGTAGTCTAGGTTAACATGTTGTGATGAAACTGCCGGCAGATGATACTGTAATGTCTGGTTAAGAAAGGGTATTTTTATTTCAATATCAACATCATGTTGGGTTGTTATTATAATTTGGTTCTTGCTATGCTCACTGTAGGTTTCCATGAAAGCCAACATAAAAAAATTTCCGTGGTGATCAACGTCAAGGCCTGAAACAATAGTAAAGGTACAATTGAATAGTGGTGCCAGAGATTTGAGAGGGGTCCAATGGATAAACCCGAAGGTTATCAAACTGTTACAGCACTGAATTTTGCTATGGCGAGTTTGGTGGTGTATGCCCTTAAACTGAGAGGTACTAATGAAGAGCATTGATAAATCATTTACCGAGACGGGGTGGATTGTTAATTAATCGTTAATTAATGTTGTTTGAAGTTTGTATCGTTAGGGGAGCCACGATGGGTGGGTGATTAAGGCGCTGAAACACTAACCAGGATGTCCTGGGTTTATAACAGTGTTGACAGAAAAGAGTTCCACGGGATTTTTCAGCGTGGTTTCCCGATGTCACTGGTGCAGGGCAGAGGGTCAAACAAGCAACAGTGTATCGTGGCTCGCGAGGATGGGGAGGACGAAAGCCTTAAGTCCGGCCCGGGCGCAACTTGATGTGTACGTAAAAAAACCCATTGAAAGTCAAGAGTAGCTGGACAAAATGTCCCTCATAGCGCCACATTGGTTGGCATCTAACCTCTCTATTAGCTTGATTAGTTTAGAAAAGTGGCACTTTAACCCCTCATTTCAGTTGTTTTGTGAACTTTTTCAACGAAAATACTTTTTTGACTGCTCTTCCGTTCTTTACAGTGTGCTAGTAATGATCCTATACTACCGGTGCATTACAGAAATAATCAATGCAAACGATCTCCTTCTAATAATTGTCCATTAATAACTTATGTATTAACCGTAGATGCGAAAGATATATTCTTTCTTCGTCACTGAACACCGCGTGCGGCTTATTAGCATGAGACATAAAAAAGGCAGACAATATAATTGAACACCGTGGAGGAAAACCGTGTATTTATGCATTTCTTTATTAGATAGAATAACGGTATTATTCTAAACGTATTCTTGGCTCTCCGCGTGACTTAAATTATTAATGAGTCGATCAATTGAAATGAAATGAAATGAAATGGAGTTTAACGTCAATTCTATCAACTAATAAATAAAATTATTTCTTTGCGAACCAGGCCCGTAGTTAGCACGGGCCAAAGTGGGCGCCCTTTCCAAGAAGCCAACGACCAACGTGCCCATATCAGTATGGGCGCCCCATAAAGCCGAGTGATAATGGTTGGGCGCACACGGCGAGATTGGGCACGGCGCCCAACCAATGCCATGGGCGCCTCGCCTATCATGTCGGTGTATATGAGGCGTCCCCCAAATGGTGAGGCGCCTGATAATGAATTACACGATTAACACCACAACTTAACTGATGGGTGCCTTATTCTGAAGGGGCGCCCATAATGACATGATGACAATATATGATTGTCGGGCCGCGCATAATGCATAATGAGATTGGGTGGGCGCCCACGACTTGATCAATGGGGCGCCCAAAACGGCATGATTGGTGTGGTGCATCATCCCGGAGGGGTGCCTATAATGCCAAGATTGGTGGGCCGCACACGACGAGATCATGGGCGCCCAACCAAGAAACCGACACCCGAAGAAATCTACCATCAGAACACCAACTGGAGATAACGAAATTTTCCAGGTCAAATTCACGGTGGGGATGAGATTTTCTCAAGCCCTCACTACGCGTGATAATCTTCAAAATACAAACAGGTCGCACTCTAACCCGATTCCGAAATTTTCGTTTTTCTCATAAATTATTATAGTCGTATTCCTTCCTTTAAATTTTTATAATGTTCATATCAAAATATCATAATACGCCAATATCTCAAATTCAGGACGGGGAGGGCCTGCAAGGGACAGCGTATAGTCGTTCGGATTGTACAAAAGACCTAGGTACCGTATACACATTGACGTGCACGTAAAATAACCCTTGACAACCCGCAATATGTAGGCCTAAGCGTCGCTGTCCGGGCAAAATTTCCTTCATAGCACACGGCATGGCGTATGCCCGTCTTCATTAGGCCAGTCGGGGCAGAAAAGTAGGACGTTAAAGCCAATTTCATTTTTAAATATTTCACCTGATTCCAGTGTCACGGTGTCTGGCGGTATCCGATACCTTACCTCGCGGGTTTTCTCCGTGCCCCCCGGTTTCCTCCCACTGCTAAAGACCCCTACACGCAAGCGAATTATTGAAATAAAATTGAACCATATGTTAGACCCGAAATGACCTAGTTTGTGTCGGGTGGACGTTAAACCCCATTTCTCTCTTTCTCTCTTATTTTTGTAGTTACTTAAATTATTAATGATTCTATTAAATAATAATAAAAACATTTCTTTAAATATTACACTCGATTCCAGTGTCATGGTGTTTGGTGTTATCCGATACATTATTCTTGTAGTTACAAAACGCGACCATAGCCATGACAATTTCTCATAATATACAACACGGAACGTAATAGACACAACTCAACATCAAACGATAAGAGCCACAATAGAAACCAACAAGACAACTCCGCAGATTAGCACAACACATGGATCTCACAGGCAATAAATAAAATAGTGATGTGAAATCAAGAGTAACATATCAACTTTTCTCTTTTTGAAAAACGCATACACAGACTCACCTTTTGATACCGCCATCACAAGACCACAAATCTGTAAACCGAATTGAAATGATACATGAGAAAAAACACTTAATTCCACAAACTGCTACTTAATGGTAAAAATAAATAAATAATTAAAAATAAAAATATATAAGCAATTTATTAGGTATGTGGCCAATCGGACCCTATTCATAAAAACATTACTAAAATACCTTAAATGTAAGGTTTCCCCTAATCGACAGCCCGACGATTAGGAATACCTGCACGCGTGACGTCGAAGGTTGCACGCGAAGATTGAGGCGCTTGGTGTACATGATGATAAACTTTATGAAGAGTTAGACGTACAACACTTTCTGAGATAAAAATCACGAAAAAAAGACGCGGGCAGTGGATTCGATATTTGTAATAAATAGTCAGCGATTAAAGACAACACCGTCTTGTGTATACAATGAATCCCCCCCCCCCCAAGACTTCGCCCCCGTTGCTATAGGTACCGAGAGAGGTAAGTCACGTGAAACAAACATGACCTCTTTTGATCGATTTTTATAGCAGGGTATTCCTTGGCAATTACAATGTTTTGATAAGGATTTGAAGCAAAATTATGGTAAATTAATTAGTTTGAATATGTTTTTAGTCCAAATATATCATCAAATCACCGAGCATTAAAACCATAGGACAAATTTGGTGCCCCCCCCCCCTCGCCTATGAAAATGCTGATTTCTTTTAAAGATTTAGTTTAAGATTTCTTGAATAAGCCATCTTATAATACGCTTATTCACTAATTGAAATCAGCAGCATTTTTATATATTTTTATTGTATCTTAAGAAAGCATCTTTTTAAAAAAATGTTCTTACCACTACACAATTCAAAAATGTCATTTTGTTCTTTTCTTTCGATCTGTAAAAAAATAAATTGTATGGATTTTCTGGCAGAATAAACGAGCTGTCGACACGACACATAAATATACTTGGAAATTTCGATAAATACTGCCGGTATTTCTCCGAATTTTATATTATTCTTTTTTCGGGATTATATTCTATTTTCTTTGAAAATTTTTAAACGACAGACAGAACATTATTTTGCTGCTGGTTAGATGTATATTCATTGCCTAGCAACGTTATGATTTACCATGTTTTCATTATTTGTGTTCGTTAAAAAAATAATTAAAATGGGGATAAAGTTAATTAAATCTAAATGTAATAAAACGGAAGATTAAATTTGACCTACTTATCATAAACCGAATGTTTAAATATGACCAGAATATCATAAACGAAATAATTCATTCTGGCCTTTTAGTGTACCATACGGAATGTTTGAATATGACCATGTTATCACAAAAGACTACACTTATAAACGGAAAGATTAAATATGACTATGTCATTTCAAAAGCTAAGGTTACGCATATTACCAAATTATAATAAATATTAAGGTTACATATATTATTTCAAAAGCTAAGGTTACACATTACCAAATTATAATAAAAATTAAGGTTACTACATATTACTAAATTATCATAAATGTTACGGTTACATATTACCAAATTATCATTAAAGGAATGATTAAATATGGTCACATTATTATAAAAGAAATGATTAAATGTGATCTTAAAAGGAATGATTAAATAATTAAATATGATCATAAAAGGAATGAATAGGAATGAGTAAAAATGATCATAAAAGGAATGATTTCATATGATCGTATAAGGAATGATTAACTATGATCATAAAAGCAATGACGAATATGATAATAATAGGAATGATTAAATATGATCATACAAGGGATGATAAAATATGATCATAAAAGGAACAATGAACTATGACCAAATTATCACAAAAGGAATTTTTAAGTATGACCACATTAGCATAAAAGGAATGATTAAATATGATCATATTATCAAACCAAACAATGAATGATTACCTATGATCACATTATCATAAAAGTAATGGTTAAGTATGACGATATCATTATAAAAAGAATGATTAAATATGACCATATTATCATAAAAAAAAATGATTAAATAAGACCATATTATCATTAAATGAATGATTAAATAAGATCGTATTATCGTAAAATGAATGATTAAATATGATCAAATTATCAGAAATGAATGATTACGTTATGATCATATTAATATCATATTATCATAAAGGAATGATAAAATATGACAACTGTATCATTATAGGAATGAATAAGTAAACATAGAAATAAAAAAAGAGTCGGTAACTTAAGAGAATAATTTCTAGTACATGGTGATATAAACGGAAATACATGTATATAACTTTACCATGGAGCTTCGATTTCCGGAATCTAAGTACATACTAGTTTTTCATTTAACTACGCAGAGTGTCTTTATAACTTTCTAAAACATTAGAGTTGCTGGTCTTCATCTGGGAGATGTTTAAATCCCTTGCACATACACTATTGTGAACGTTGATTTCTTAAAAGGAATACCAGTCCAATTTGACGCACAATACTGGATCTTCAAAATCGTGCGAAATATTTTGATACTGTTATCCAGTACCGCCTAGATTATGCTCCCAGGGTTAGGATTAGGGCTAGCCCTGTTTGCCGAAATCTGCAGGTCCCAGTCCTTGCCCTAACCCTAACCCACACTCCGCAACACCGTCTCCAAACTAGCGTTCTCCCAAAATATTTCGCACGATTTTGAAGATCCAGTATTGTGCCAATTTGACAACATTTTAGCTCTGATTATGCCGTCAAAAATTACAACATGTCGAAAAAATGCAATGACAATCAGATGCTTTGATTACCTAAAATTTAAGACAACATACCTTTTGAATCCACTGATCACGACGAAGATTCCAGAAAAATTTAATTTACCTCATCACAATTCAATCAATTCAATATGAATCAAAACTGATCATAAAATATCATTAAACTTTAACATCCGTAGTGGTTCAATACTCGGGTGAAATATTATACAGCTTGGGGAATAGATTGTGTGCTTGAAATACTCTTTTATTATAGCAATTATATAAGTATTGATTCACCTGTCACACTATTTACATCAACATAAATGTTAGTGAGAGAGAAGTGGCGGTCTCCGTAATAACCAAGTCATTTTCAGAACTAACAAATCGTATACCTTTGGTTCAATAATTCGCTTTCGTGTTCTTACATTTCGATAAAGACAAACTTGATGTCTTTTGGATAAGGAAAAGATGATGTCATTTGAATAAAGACAAACATAATGCCATTTAGGTAAATACGAACATATGCAATGTGGTGAAGAAAAGCTTGGTACCATATTAAGATGCATTCCCATGTACAAACTGGGTGATTTGATGATATATTTGGACTAAAAATGTATTCAAATTAATTAATCCGTCAAAAAATAGCCCCAAATCAATCTCAAAACATTGTATTTGCGAGGAAATACCCCAAGCTATAAAACATCCATTTCAAGAAGTAACGTCTGTGTCATGTGACACAGGTACTATGCTGGGGATGAATTGTTTGCACATAAATATCGAAGCCCAAGTACATTCTCGGATTATATTATCCACCGCCCACCACTTTTTCCATGGTTTTTAGCTCAGCAACTGTTGTACGTTTATGTCTCTTACGTTTCCACGCCTGTTTACCATCAAGTTTATCAACATACTTATACTTTAAGCGTACCTCACGCAAAGACAATTTACATGTGCACCCATCGACGTCACTCTGACAGACAACCCTTATCGTCGGGCTATCAATTTGTGACAACCTCTTATTTTTCTTGTGAGATTGGGTGTCTCTACTTTCCATATGTACCAAAATTGCCATACTTTTACTGGAAATAACAAACCGATAAATACTCTTGTGGGGCATGGATAATGAGAAATTAATATATTGAAAATTTCATTCAAATTACTTTATTCTGAGCGAAGTTATGGGTGTTTTAAGCTTTGACAAGATCTTGCGTTGATTATTCATTATCGTAGCAACGGTGCTTGACATTCGCGATTTAGTCTCAATTATCCAGTTCAGGGTTACATTTTTAGATCTCTTGTGGGAAATGGATAATGGGAAATGAATATATTGAAAGTTTCTAGGAGAAGTTATGAGTGTTTTAAGGTTTGACAAGATCTTGCGTGGATTGTTCATTATCGTAGCAACGATACTTGACATTCGAGAGTAAGTCTCGATTATCGATTTTATGGTTAAATTTTTAGATCTCGCAGTTGTTCTGCTTTTGAACAAGCGGCCTACTCACAGAACCACCATGGTTGGGACTAAAAGGGCTTAAAACTTACTGGAAAAAAGTCATCTGGTTGAAAATAAAATGGGGTTGTCTACTCTAACCGAGATAATGAAGACTGGTATATGCCATTATTTTCTGTACATTTATTTAGGAAATGGATGACTTAATTATCAAAATTATTATACAACAGAACACATTACAAAAGATGTTCAATCAACTGAGAGTTAGATAATCGTTTATGAATGACAATTCCATGGTAATCATTCACAAGGGAATTTATCAACTGACACTAATAATTATATACATGTATATAGAAATTTAGTTGAACATGGACGGTAGTATAAATACCCATTGTTCGTGTCACAATAACAAATCAGATGAAGACAATGTTTGTCAAGTCACGTACTCAATTCATCTCTTGCCTACCTTTGTTCAATTGTTGTTTAACCGGGAAATTATGTCACTTGTGGTTTTTATAACTGATCAAGGGTTTTTTGATTGCCGCGTGTATTATTTGTAGTTAAAGTGTCCACAAACAACCCTCTTCTTTAATTATAGTTACAAGAACGTCTTCAATCTGTTTCACAGAGCATTACGAAAGTTTTCTAATATCTCTGTAAAAGATAACTGCCTTCAACTTTTTGCGTACGTCACATCATGCGACGTAAATCATTTGCTCAATGGCGCGTGCATTATTTACATAGACGTTACTGAATCGGGCAGAATGCTGTCTTTTACACATTTTAATACCCATTTACACTAAATAGGAAATAATCTTTACCTACAAGTACTTTCTAATAAATAAAAAAAATGTTTTAGAATTTAATTTGTCGGAGGAAAAAAGTTAATATTTGTGGCTCATTAAGTCGCATCGATGTCCTCCTTATCAGTGATTGTAGCGGCCTAGCGAATATTTACTACTGATCAGTATTGAACATTCGTTCAGTTGAGGTGGGCTGAGGGGGAACGAGTGTGCTTAATAAATAAAAAAAATGTTTTAGAATTTAATTTGTCGGAGGAAAAAAGTTAATATTTGTGGCTCATTAAGTCGCATCGATGTCCTCCTTATCAGTGATTGTAGCGGCCTAGCGAATATTTACTACTGATCAGTATTGAACATTCGTTCAGTTGAGGTGGGCTGAGGGGGAACGAGTGTGCTTAAGATCTTTAGGTCTACCATTGAGTCAAGTGGCATGGTTTCAATCCCAAGCTTGTGCGTTTGCAAGGAGTTGGATCGCCTGCCCGACCTCGTGGAATTTCTTCGGTTCCACCGAACTGCTAAATCGTTCTTTATCTTTCTTTCTTAAGAGCTAAATCTGCAGAATGCAGAGCTTTCGTTTGGTCTCTAATGCTATGTATATCATTAATTAGGCATTTATTTACATGCCAGGCCCACAGTCAACTCTCTAGAACTTCGGATGGTTTTGATTTTCAACAGATTTAAACGATTGGCAGTTAATGATTTAATTCAAAAATGGATTATCGAGACTTTGTTCATTATCGTAACAACGGTAATAATGACAATCGAGAATACGTTGTTCTGCAAAGGACGATAACTCCGCTCAGAATGAAGTAACTTGACTGACATTTTCAACATATTCCCTTTTCATTATCCATTTTTTAAAAACTATTCTAGCGAGAACTGTCAGCTCTTTATGTAAACCTTAAATAATGTATCTTTAAGATACATTACAATTAGATCAAAATCAATGTTGCCGATTTCAAATCAAGTATCGATTAGTATCCTTACATTTGCCTGGGCGTAATGTGTGCGTATTTAAATCGGCCCAATACTTGCCGCAGCGTTTCGTGACGTTTGTCCCAGATACCCTTTATATATGTAAGCTCTTTTGAACCATTGCGAATAAACCCATCGTAATTTAACACACAAAATATCAATCCATCAATAGGTTGTGTTGAAGTTTTATAGAAAATCGAATAAAAGAATTGCGAAAGAAAGTAGTCTTTAATACTCGGATCATTTTCTACGAAGTAACCACTGACTATAATATCCAGCTTCTAAATATCACTTCAATTGTCTATAACTATTGATCAATGCTGTTCACGAAGCAGGGTATGCTTATTACCTCTATTATTTAATTCCCATTACAGGACTTCACATTATATCTGATATTAATTTCCATTAAAGGACTTCACAGAGCTACCAAATCTATTAGTAAGTGCAAGAGGACCACACTACACACAAGACAAACCCGACAAGACAATCCTGCGGAAAAGACAAACTCCTTAGACAAACAGCAAGAAAACAAACAATAAATATTAAACGTCCACTATACGCTGTTCAGTGCCGGGTCGGTAATAATACAGACGTTACTCAAAATGAAAAGAAAAGGAGAGAGAGAGAGAGTTTAACGTCCACTTGACACAAACTAGGTCATTTCGGGACTAACACACGGTTCAATTTTATTTCAATAATTTGCTTGCGCGTAGGGGTCTTTAGCAGTGGGAGGAAACCGGAGGACCCGGAGAAAACCCACAAGGTTGGACAGGCGACCCTACTGCCCCTCCGGTTTCCTACCACTGCTAAAGACCCCTACGTGCAGGCAAATTATTAAAATGAAACAGAACCATACGTTAGTCTCGAAATGACTAACCTAAACAAAATAGATATATCCTCAGTGATAGAGCAACCGAAAAATATGCTTTTATTCTTATGTATGTATATATGTATGGGTGTGTGTGTGTAATATATATATATCTTTTAAATTGTAAATATCCTGTGAAATTATTCGTGTAGAACGAAAATGCATTATGTATTTTGTGTATTTTGTGAATAAATATAAATCTAAACAAGAAAAAAAGCGCGCTTGCTCGCTAACAAAGAGGTCCTGGGAATTTCCAACACACGTAGTTCCCCCTTGTCGGTGGTGCAAAATGGAGGGGATGGCCCCTCGTGAACACATTGGCGTGCACGTATAAGAACCCAGGACAGTTGGAATTCAATTGCTGTCCTAGCAAAATTTTCTTCATCTATGCCCGCCTTTACTACCTTGGTCGCTGAAGAAACGTAGGATACTAAGCCCCATGTCACTATTCTATGTTGAGCGTGCATTGTAATGGTCTAAATGTTTATCGATGATACAGCGATCAATGAAAGCCTGCACTAATAACATTATTAGGTCTTGTGACACGGATTGACATTTTCTAATCACACTTTCCTTTAAAGGGGCAGATAGTGTATTTAAAGGTCATACGATACAAGTGGGTTTAGGTATCGAAAATAAAACGGCAAAATGGCAGAACTAAGAGTAAGGGTGCCATTTTATAAGATCTCGTAATATTTTAGCATCCGATGATTGATCAAACAATAAACCTGCTCCACGAGAGATTTGCCGGATAACACGGCTATTAATGAACGACTGCATAGCGCCGAGCAATTCTTTGTCGCCGAATACCAAACAAT